TCATTGATCAGCTGCCTCCTGCATGGGCTCCCACTGGAGATTAAGCTGGCAACGTGGGCATGTGCCCTGACCGGATTGCACCGTGACCTCCTGGTTCATAGGTCAATGCCACACCAGCTGAGCAACTGTAAACACACTTTTGTCTGGTGTTACTATTATGTGGGGGGTTTTCCTGACGCCACCAAGCAATTCTTTGTCACTGCCTAGGTGTCCTGCAATTCAACCCCATTCTGACATGGTCCACCTGACACTATGACCTGGAGACAGGCCCCAGAGGTTAAGGGATCAGTCCTACAGGACTGCCCACCCCCTTCAGTAGCCAATAGCAAGTCCTCGTTGTCCCCTGCGCTTCTGACGGACCAGCTACGGGTTGGAGGCACCCACAATCTCTTCCTCCTGTTCGGCTAATTTGCGGGAGCAACTCGCAGAACTCAGAGAAACATTTGACTTACCAGATTATGGGTTTATAATAAGAGGACATATTTCAGGAAGAGCCGGATGGAAGAGATGCACAGGGCGGGGCCTGGGGAAGGGGCCCAGAGCTTCCACGCCCTCTCCAGGGGCCCTGCTCTCTCAGCCCCTCCCCACCGTCACCAACTCGGATGCTCTCTGAACCCTCTTCCTTCTTTCATGGAGGCCTCGTTATAAAGGCATGATTGATGAATCACCGGCCACTGAGGATGCAACCTCCAGCCCCTCTGCCGGCCCCAAGGTCAAGGGGCAGGACCGAAGAGTTCAACCTTCTAATCTGGTCGGTTCCCTGGCAACTCGCCCCCATGGCCAGGTGCTGTCCATAAGTCACTCATTAAAATAAACTCAGGAGCGGCTGAAAGGGCTTGTTAAGAATAACAAGGCACCTTGATTGCTCTGGCCACTTAGGGAATTAGGAGCTCTTTACCAGAAGTGGGGGGGAAGACCAAATAGATACTCCTTCTTATAGATTACAATATCATGGTAACCCCTTATAGCAAAAGTAACGGCGGATGTGATGAAGTTAGGAATCTTGGGTGGGCCCAGTGTGGTCACCGGAGTTCTTACAAGCACCGGACAGACCGGCCAGCGGTCAGAGAGGGGAGCTGTGACGTTGGAAACAGGCTGCAATGGTGCTGAGCCATAAACCAGGACACGCTGCAGCTTCTATGTTGGGCAACATAAGGAAATGGATTCTTCCCTGGAACATGACAATCAGAAGCTAATACAGGTTTTAGTTTCCTGTTGTTGCTTGCAGGAACCACCCCAACCTAATGGCTTACGATCACACACCTTTAGTACCTAGCTGCTGTGGATGTCAGAAGTCACAAGAGGGTCTTACGTGGCTGAAATAAAGGTGTTGGCAGAGCTGTGCTCCGTCTGGAGGCTCCAGGCTGCCTACATTCCTTGGCTCACAGCCGCATGACTCCAACCTGCGCCGCATGACGCCCTAAGCCAGGGAGATGGCTCGATTGCTGCTCAACATTATTGTGGCAAACAGGTAACGGCCCCAGAGGCAGGTCACAGGGCACACACACGTCACTGCTGCATAGCAAGACTTCGAGGTGCCCAGTGACTGGTGCAGACAGAAAGTATCGTTGGAGAGAGCCCCGAAAGACAGGGTTTGGGTCAGAACGTCACCACAGACATGGGCTCGGCTGAGGTGAGGGAGGAGGTGGGCTTTGCAGGGAGGGGGAGCGGCGGAAGCAAAGGCCAGGCCGGCGGAGGATGAAAGCCGTGATTAGAACTAACTACTGGGGCAAATCTGGAGCAGGGTTGGTTTGTGTGACACGGGGGAGGAGAGAAATAGAGAAGCTGCTGGTGGCCAGAGCAGGCACTGAATCTTGGCTGGGGGTGGGGGGAGGGGGCGGGGAGGGGGTGAGGAGTTGGTCCTCCTCTTCTGACCCGGTGACACCGGATGCCTTCGAGCAAAGGCATGACCGGATGAGAGAGATGTTTCTGGAAGGGCAACGGGAGGGCAGTGTGTGTTTTTCAAGGAAGGCGATGGGTGGCCTCTTGGAGGGAAGAGAAGCAGGTGTCTCTCTCCCCGCAGACTTTGCCGGCAGCTCTTCTGCGAATAACTGCATTTCCATGAGCGACTCTTTAAAGCCCTAACGCAACCGATCCAATTTCTCAGTGCCGAGGCTTCACTAAGGCCACGGACACAACAGCTTGAGGTCACAGGCGGTCTCCGAGGCTCTCTTGCGTTGGTTTCTTTACCGGCCACAGCCCTCCCGGACCAGGAAGGGAGCGGAGTGGAGAGCAGCATGCATCACCCTGGAAGATCTATCTCAAAATTCTTGGAGACAGTCAAGGAGGGAGCAACTGGGTCAGGCTTCAGACAGCGGCCTCCACACTCACCTGAGTTCCAGCGGAGAAAAGGGTTACGGAGAAGCCGGGAAACCACCCACCCGTCCCTCCCCAGCCCCCAGGTCTAGTGTAAAGATTTAAGATTTTTTAAAAATCACCTTATTCATTCCTCTGGCTTCGATCTTCTGTTACTTGGCTACCAATCTTATTTCCCTCCAGAGGTCCTTGTCAAAGTCATTTCCTTTTGGGATGTGGGTTAGGCTCTGTCTATAGCCACCCACCTGACTGTAAACACGTCCCCTGATTTTGCCAAGAGCACAATGAAAAAAAAGTAAGTCCGTTTTTACTACGTAGCTGACTGTGAAGCTGAATATATTCTCTATCCTCTGTCCCTCCATCTTGTCACAAATGGCAGTTTCCTCTTTTCTGTGGCTGAGTAGTATTCCATGTGTGTGTATCATACCTCCTTTATCCAACCATCTACGGAAGGACACGTTGGTTGTTTGGACCTTGAGAAGAGGATGCTAGGTGAAAAAAGTCAGACAGTGAAGTCTGAGGACCATCTAATCCAGCGGTTCTCAACCTGTGGGTCGCGGCCCCTTTGGCGGTCGAACGACCCTTTCACAGGGGTCGCCTAAGACCATCCTGCATATCAGATATTCACATTACGGTTCATAACAGTGGCAACATGACAGTTATGAAGTAGCAACGAAAATTATTTTATGGTTGGGTCACAACATGGGGAACTGTATTTGAAGGGCCAGAAGGTTGAAAACCACTGATCTAATTCCATCCACGTGGTATATAAAACTGAAACTCACCGACACGGACAACCGTGTGGTGGTTACAGAAGGAGGGAGGGTAGTACAGGGAACCAAATTCATGGTGATGGAAGCTGATCTGACTTTGGGTGGTGGGGACACAATGCTATATACAGATCACGTATCATAGAACTCTACCAATGTCACCCCAATAAATTAAATTTAAAAATCCTGTGTTTACCGCCCAACCCCGCCCTGTTTCCCACCCCCTTCTCTTTTGGATGGGAGGTTGGGAAGGTTCTGTTTTGGTGTAAACTTGGATTTCTCACATGGTTGCCAGGCAACAGACGCCACCCCAGGCAGGATGCATGTCAATGTTAAATTGTCCCCAGCCACCTCTGAAGCTGAGCCTGCGAATGAATCACACAGGGGAGATGGCGGAAAATGTAAGCAGGTGTGAGACCTTATTCCCAGCGAAAGCTAACGGGTAGGTGGGCCAGGTGGCTCCTCTGAGGGCAGGTGGGCTGAGGAGGCCCGAGAAACCCAGCGCCCAAGTATCAAATGGCAAAAGACATCAGGATGGGGCTGCTTGGGGTTCAAGAAGAGACAAGGGCTGAGGAAGCTGGGAGGAACCAGACACGATCTTAGTTTATTTACTTGTGTGCATGAAACCAAGGCTCCTTAAGACTTTGACTACACTTAGCTTTAAATCCTAGCTCTAGACACCATCTCTCTCTCTGTGTGTCTCTCTCCATCGGAGACCTCGCCTTTCCCCTGGATGACCAGCAACCCCTGAGGCAGCAGGAGCCCTGAGCCCGGCCCTGACAGAAGATCACAAGGCCCCAGCCTCCCGCAGGCTCCAGATAACATCTTGACCTGAGGTATCTTTCAGCTCCTGCGTCCCAAGGTGGAACAACCCCCTGGCTACTTTCCGATGAAACCAGACAGAGGGACGCCAGAGCAGACCTCAGAGCTGTGCCCCGGACTGAAGAAATGATTTACTACCCTCCCACCTCCGACCCATCAGCTCCCAGCACAGCCCTCGCCCCTTCACCCACCACATCTTGAGGTTTTGCCCTGTAGCCTCTACGCCATGGGGGAGTTCGGGCTCTTGAGTATTTGCTTCCCATTAGTAGTAAAATAGCCAATCTTCCTGTGTTTAGTGTTTGGCTCTGCTAGCCCCAATGCGTGAATTCCTTTTGTTCTGTAACATAGGGCTGTTCTGTTCTGTTCCATTCCATCCCAGGTTGTGCTGCATATATTACCGCACTTAATCTTATCTCAATGCAGTGAATTTGGAACAGTCATCTTTATTTTACAGTAAAGAAATGAAGGTACAGAGAGGTGGTTAACTTATCCAAAGTCACACAGCTAGGAAGCGGGGGAGCTGGGATTTGCACCCGGATAGTCTGGGTCTCTGAGCAGCAAAACGGTGGTTAAGAAGGCGGATTCTAGCATGGAACAGTCTGGGTTCTAACTCCGCCTCTGACATTTACTGGCTATGCCGACCTTGCTCAAGCTGGCCGACCCCCTTCTGCCTCAGTTTCCCAAGTTTTAAAATGGGGAGAGCAACGATAACATGTCTGAGTGTCGTGGTGAAGGGTAGGACTTAATAACTGTTGGCCATTATTTTAATCAACGAAGCACTTCTGCAGGGGCCAGGCGTGCCTCTTGCTCCACCTCCGACCTGCATCTCACCCTCAAGGTCACCTTCAGAATCCTCTGCAGGGCTGGCAGAAGTTTTGGTTGAGACAATACTGCACCCCCTGCTTTTCCTTTAACTTGTTGGTCTGTGTCGCCCCCTCCGCGCCCCTCTTTTCCCTTCGCCAAGACCGCTCCCCAATCAGCCTCCCGACTCCTCTGTGTCAGGGTGGGCTTCCGGGGGACCCCGGTCTGTGACAGTGAGCGACAGCATGAGAAATTCCAGGCAAACCACACAAAAGACAGCAGTCAGCCAAGTCAGGGCCACTTTTTAATGTTTTAACCATAATGCAAACAGGCATAAGTAGATTTTTGCTTGAATTCCACCCATTTAGAAGATGAGAACTATACAGAGGAAGAGCATGCGGTGAACACAGCCTGGACGGCCTTGCAAAGAGCGTGAGGCGGGCGGCGGTCCTCTGAGGAAGGTGCCGGAGCGCACGGGACACTTGGCGGAGACAGCAGCATCGAGAGCTCAGAGGTAGGGGGAGTCCGCGTTCCTGATGGGGTGTGTGGTCAGATGAGACAACGCTCTGCCCACCCCCCCAGTTCCCAACCCCGGAATGGAATCCCACGGGCACAGACCAACCGACCGACCGACCGACCGACCGCTCTCGCTCAGCCTTCCGGGAAATCACTGCCGAACCCAGAGTGGGTCTTACAATCACAAGGACAACACAGCAACATGGAGAACAGGGTGGAGGCAGGAGGCCGGGCACGGAGGGCACTGGGCCTCTGAGTGTCTCCATCGGCACGATGCCCAGCACACAGCCTGTTATGGAAACGGAACCGTCATCCTCCTGACTCGGGAGGGAGTTTGTGAAACCCTATCTTTTCATTCCCCCTCCACATCCTGCCAGTCTCGGTGGGGCAGCAGGCAACAGAAACAAAACCACTGGCTGAGGAACGCTCGGCTGGCCCTGGGACATCGGGTAATGTCCGAAGACGTCTGCGCTTGTCACGGTGAGGGGGCGACTACTGGCTCAACATCCTCCAATGCCCAGGACAGCCCCCCGTGAAGAACCCTCCAGTCCCAAAGGCCCACAGGACCGAGGCTGACAGACCCCGCGTCTCCCAGAGCCCAGGAGCCCCACCTGGGCACTCTGATGCCCTGGAGTCTTTTTCTAGAAAACTATGCAGGGCAGCACCTCCAGGCAGATTTGCTGCTGCCTGACGGGGCCACCTGGTGGAGAGTGGGCTCGTCCTGGACCAGACAGGCCCGGCCTCCCCATTCAGAGCCGCCCCGCGATTCCAGGACAAAACAGACCCACGAACACACGGAGGACCGTGTGCTCCCGACCCCTCCCCAGCCCGCGCTCTGCCCGGAGCAGACACCAGGACAGATCGCTTCCCAGGCGTGGGCGCTCACTAGGTCCTCACACCTGAGACGCAGCAGTGTGTGGGGAGGGGCAGCTTTCCCTCTGGGCCGCGTTGCCACCAGCAGGGACTGGAGAGCCGGGCAGGGGTCAGCTGCCAGGTTCATCGGAACCGTCTGGGCTGCGTCCTTGGGAGGCAGGGCCCCTCCCTCAGATGGTCAGATCGCGGTTTCCGCCATCCCTGCTGCTGGCCTGTCATTCTTGAGCCCAACAGGGCATTTGGATGGAGGAGCCATGGCAGGGGCTGGGGAGAAGGCAGGAGTCTGGACAGGTCAGGCCGTATGGGACGCTCAGGTTAGTGCTTCTTCTGGTCCCCTGCAGGCGTCTCATTAACGGGCGGATTCAGACAGAGGCTTTGTGGACAAGGTGGCGCGGTGACATGCTGGAGACAGAGGCAGTGGGGGTGACATGCTGGAGACAGAGGCAGTGGGGGTGGAAATATACAAGTAAACACGACCATCTGAAAACGGCGGAGCTGCAGGGCGAAGGGGCCAGACGTTTGGGTTGCCCGTTCTGGCAGGACCCGTGTGCCCCATGATCTCGGTCAGAAAATCTCACAGGTTTTGGACTTAGGGCAAATCTGACCTCTTTTTTGGAGCCCCAAGCAGATGGCCGCTGAGAGCGTGTCTGGCAGGAAAGCTCTCTGTTCGGAGGCCACGGTCTCCTGGGGGGTGGGGGCAGCTCTCTCCGTGCGGCCGAGCCCGCCTGACTCTGGGGAGGAGTGACCCTGTGGACTCAGGGAGAAGCTGGCTGTCACGTCCGCATCGCGAACTCATCTTTCTCCGGGGCCTGTGTTATCTCCCGAGCCCGTCGCAGCCGAGAGGCCAGAATCTCGGCTTTCTTGTTTTCATCTTTCAGGACAGATGGGTATCCAGTCCTGTTGATTCAGCCCCTGGAACCTCTTGTATCGCCATATCTGTTTCTTTCCTCGTTCCAGCCTTTGTTCCTGCAATCACCTGCCCAGAGGTCAACCGGCCGGCCCTCCCGTGCTGCAGCCAGAACATTCTTTTCCAGGCTTAACTCCAATCACCACCTTATTCTTCCCTTTGAAAAACAATCTTAAGGACTCCCCATTGCCTACCAAATAAAGTCAAAATTCCTTAACATGCGACTCACCCCTCCCCACCGCCTGGCCCCTGCCCATCTTCCCAGCGTCTCTCTTGCCATTCCGACCCTCCGCAGCCTTCCAAAGCTGGGTACCTCTGACACCATCCCCCGCGTACCCTCCATGCCCCACCCTGGTCCTTGGCTTTGCTCTCACCCTTCCTACTCTGTGGCACACGTGTCTCCCAAACCTGCTGGTGGAATCCACCCACTTCTGGAACCCCAGACATTTATGTTGATTCTAGGAATCGTGTCTCTGCATACTGATTCTACCCGCCTATGAAAGGGGAACTGTGTTTTGCTCTGTACACCGTACCATGCCTTCTGCATTCTGGAGAAGCAAGAATGCCATAGATTAAGCGAAAAAATAAAAGGTGATCGCTCCCAGTGGGTCAGGTACTATAACTGGGCATCTCAGGGGCAGTATCTCATGTAATCCACCTTGTCCTACAGGTGACGATGCAGCCTCAGAAGGGTGAGGAATCCGCCAGCCCACAGCCGTCTGCATGAGCAGGGGCTCATGTGGTGATTAAATCTACAAGTAAACACGGCCAGCTAAAAACAAGAGGCCAAGCTCTACCTGGCCGCATGAACTCAGGCCAGCTTCCAAAACTCCATGTTGGTGGGTCTGAAGCCTTCTCCCCCAAAAGAAAGCTACCTGGGGTCTCACTCCCTAGAAACCAAGGTGCAGGAATTGGATTCTGAGGAATGACTCAGAGCGTGACTGTGCAGGGATGACCCATTCCTCCCGCCAAACTCACTTCTGTTTAGAGGTTTTGTTTAAATGGGGTTGCAGTGGCTGCAGGCCAACTCAATGGGGAGAGGGAAATCAAAGGTCCGTAAACTGGGTGACCCCCAAGTGCCCAGCCAACCCTACTTTGGCTCACCTCTTGCTAAACCAAATATTTGGTTACTGGGACCGAGCTAAAACCCGCCACAAGAGGGCAGCACTTACACACCCTGGATCAGCGCTAAACCCTCTAGGACTCCCTCTCCATCCCCTGAAAGGCTCATTACAGCCAGGCTTCTGGCGTCAGGGATTCTGACAAAGGAGAGAAACACATCAGTCTAGTCTCCCGTCTGCGAGCCAGGAGCTGGGAAGCAGCTGTGCTGCGGCGGAAAGGCGTTTACTTAAAAAGGAAAAAATCCTTCCGGGAAGAAAGGTGAATCCTGGCTATGTAATCCTGATAAAACTAGAGGACGTTTCCCTCTGCCTGCCTGCTTCTCCAGGGACGCGACGCGGACAGAGAGAGGAGGAAGGCGCCTGGCACAGAGAGCTCACAAGTCTTTATTCGGCGACGGAAAAGCATTCGTGCATAAAGCTTGATTTGACGGAGGTTGGACACATTCCCCGGGGGGCTAGTGACATCGCAGGCGGTACCTCCAAAAAGTTCAAGGGGGTGGAAAGAAAGCTGCTAGGAGACAGAATTGTGTTTGCAGGAGAGCCGGGCTTTACGAGGGGCTTCCCTCCAGGTTCGAAAGAGTCGGGGAGCATGCTGAGCGTTTGGTCTCTATGCCCTGGGAAGTCTGAGCAGGAGCAAACAGGACTCAAGGAAGGCGGGGAGGTCACAGCTCTGTCCCAGGGGACAGGGCACCAGGGGGAGCTCCCAGGGAGGGTGGACAAAGACGAGATATAATTTGCCCTTTGACTTATAGAGTCTTGGAGGGTGTCCTCCCCAATACCTCTTTGGCACCCCCATCCTAAGGCTTTTCCAAAGAGGCCAGGGCACTTTCTCTTTGGTACACCCCCCCCCCCCCCCCCAACACACACGGAGCATCGAGAAAGAAATGCCCATTGGGCTGTCTTTCTGTGACCAAACCCAACAGAAGGATGGGCCTGGCCGAATGCTTCCCTCCCGACCCTGGGGGCCCAGTCCAGAGCAGACCCGGAGCCAGGCCCTGGGGGGTGGGCACTGGGACTTTTTGGCTCTCTCTGGTGGGTGCTGCCTGCGTTGATCTGTAGCGCTTCCCTGCCTCCCATGCCCTTGACTCTGAGAGGGTCAACGCCGCGGCTTGCCTGCCAGGGAGAACTTGTTCCAGCTCTGATTCCTGCTAACGACTCTGCTGCCCATTTAAAGAGAAATCTGTCAGGACAATTTATTTGTCGCCGTTATTTTAGCAGGTTAAACACGTGGGGGATGCCTTGTAGAAGGCCTACAGCTTGGAGGCCAGGCCCTTCCCATCCTGGGCTGTGGGCCTGCAGAGGAAGCTCTGCCCAACCTGATCCGCCCTGATGGGCTTCCGGGATTTTCCCACCGAGGGTGCAGCAGCAGCCCTATTTGGGGGAATAAATGCAAAACGATGACACTGTTCCTTAATATTGTTTCCAGTCTTCACAACTTCAAAGTTGCATCCGTTCATACTTCTTAGCTTTATAACATTACGACGAGGGGAACCCAAGGACCAGAGACTTGTCCAAAGTCAGGGGGTGGCCGAGATGAGAAGATTCCTATTTGCAGCCCGTTCCCCTGGACAGCATCACTTCAGGCCTGGTGGGTGGGGTTGCTCTGGGAGGGCCTGGGGTGGGCGGGCTGGGGGCAGGATTGCCCAATCCAATAGATGGGTGAGTTTCCCAGCCAGGGCGCCCTCCTGGTGCAAGAACCTAAATGCATCTCGTCCTCTGACTCCCCTTTCCTTGGAGATTTCCCCCTAAATCCTCACAGGCCCTCTCCGTGCCCGGACCCTTTATTTCCGGGACCATTAGGGTGCTCCCAAGTGTTACAGGGACCCGGGCGCAGTCCCTCAGTGCAGGACGCGTGAGCAGCCAACGCAGGCTGGGCCGTGGTTCTTGGGCCCCGGGGTCTGCAGGCAACGCGCTCACATGGGCAAGAGGCCTGACGGAGACCCATGCCCATCACACGCACGACCAGATGTCATCCTGTACAAGGTAATAAGGTGGGGCTTCGGCGCTGGGAGACTGGCTCAGAAGACTCTTCCGTGATCCCTGCGCCTCTCCCAGGGGAACCCCCGAAAACAAGCCCACCGCGAGCACCCCACGTCCCAGGGCCTCCACAAGCGTGGACTTGTCCTTGTCAGGAGAGGGGGGCAGTGCTGTCAGAGCCGCCAAGGAGCATAAAGGCATCGCATCGCAGCAGGAAGACTCAGGAGGAAACCCCAGGAGGCCAAGGACGCACGGAGAGGCGAGGACCCGGGAGAGGAAAGCCAGGACAGGCGGCGACAAGACGAGGCAGAGCGGGGCCGCACGGGTCCCGTGGGAAAGGTTCATTGGTGTCCACGCTTAGGGAACCTGCCACCACCCCTGCCGCAGCGCATGGGGCGGACCCCTGCCGTCCGTCGGGGCAAGAGCATCCGGTTAGGAGCTAAAGACCCTGTGGGAGAAGAAGTGAGGAGGAGTTAGCGCCACCGCGCCAGGCTGCTGTGTCCTTAGGGACACGGGGACGGCCACCTACACTCAGCATGGGCCTTCCTTGCTCTCTCTGCCTGCACCTGGCACCCAGCTGGGACCTGCAAGGAATGGCCGAATGAATGGGTGAGCGCTGGCTCCCAACATACCGGCCAGGAGGAGGGGCATTTAAGGGGCTCAGGGGCAGCCCAAGGAGGGCGATGGTCACAGCAGTAACGTGAGCCTCCTGGACACATGAGTGTGTTTTCGAGACGGCCGGGTGGTCAGGGGAAGTCCGCGAGGGTATGTGAGAGCCGGAGTGTGTGCCCTCTGCCACTCTAAACGCGACGGCTCCACTGCCACCGAAGTTCCAGGGCCCGGGGCGGGGAAGGGGGGCGTGAGGTTACACTCAGGCTGGCGTGTCCTGGCACTGCGGTCAGCCGCAAACAGTGAGGCTCAATCCCGGCCTCGTGGTGCCCCAGACTGTTGCCAGCCATTTCTAAGGGAGGCGTGAAGCTGTCAACATAATAACACTTGGAATCTGCATCAATGAGAGCGTTCCCAGCCATTCTGGGGGGTGAGAGATGTGGTGGGAACCCCAAGACAACGTGGCAGAGCCCTGAGCTGTCGTTCCACTAGGGGGAGCCCCAGGCGGAAGTTGGGGTTCCCACACTTGAGGGCACAGCGTCTCCCAGAGGGACCACTGCACCCCGAGGCCTAGCCTCTGCGGGCCAGGGCCTGGAGGGTGCGTTTCTAACTGCTCCCCGGCGCTGCTGCCGCGTCTCAGGGACCCCTCGGGGGGAAGGCCCCGTTGCTGAGGTCAGACGCCCCTGCCCACCAGGGCCAGAGGGAGGGCGCTGCCACCCCTCGCCCGCGGGACGGGGCCAGCTTACTCGTCGGTGTCCTTTTTGCTCTCCTCAATGAAGGCGATCGAGGATTCGGACCTAAGGCGGTTGGTCACTTCATACGTTCGCAGCGTGACCCCGAAGATGTCCTCATGGTAGCGGTTGTCATCCTGGGGACGGAAACAGTCAGGGAACAGCCCTCAGAGACAGCCCCGGGCACGGAGAGGGTGGGCACGCGGACAGTGCCCTTGGTCTCCCCGGCCCGGACGACAGTGAGCACCCTGGGTCCGTCCAGGAACAGGCTGCTGCCCTGTGGATCCCGAGGACAGGAGGGGGGGTCAAACGGGAGCCTCGGCACCCCCTGCCCTCTCCCGGTGACCTGCCCGCTGCCGCCGCCATACCACGGCCCCAGCCACACTCCACCCGCTCTCCTGCACGCCGCCCTCCTTCCTCCTCTCCCCGCGGGGGGCTGGGACACCCCCATCCTCTACCCTAGCCAGGGAGGGCCAAGCGGGAGCAGGGATGTCGTGATGGCTCCCCAGGCATCGAGACAGGGCCCGGATGCCGGGAAAGGGAAGCGGAGGCCAGCCGCCACGCACCCTCAGCCGGCTGATGAACACGCCCGCGTCCTCCACCGAGAGCTTCCCCTGCTGCGCCATGATGCGCTGGACGGCCTTGAGAACGTCGGCGGCCATGGTGACGTCCCCGCACACATAGATGTGGCCCCCCTGCTCCCTCAGGGCCTGGTACAGCGGCTCCGCCAGCTTCTCCTGCAGGATGTCCTGCACATACTTCTGTGGGGAGCAGGGGCCGCGTGAGCCCCGGGGAGCAGAGCCGAGGTGGGGGTTGCGGGCAGGGGGTGATCTCTGGGGTCTCGGGAGTGAAGCTGGGAGGAGGACAGCCCCCCCAAGGCTGTGGGAAGGAGCGGCTCCCCACTTTGCACTTTGCTCTGCGGAGGCCCCCAGAACTTCTCCTGGAGCGGCATTCAAGGGGAGCATTGTCTACCTGCTCCCCTCTCCAACCATCGGGATCCCCCATGAGGTGTGGACGCCATATACTTGCCAGAGCAGGTTTAAAAATTATATATATATATATATATATATATATATATATATATATTGTTTATTGATTTTAGAGAGGAAGGCAGAGATAGAAACATCAATGATGAGAGAATCATGGATCGGCTGGCTGCCTCCTGCACGCCCTCTACTGGGGATCGAGCCCGCAACCCGGGCATGTGCCCTGACTGGGAATTGAACCGTGACCTCCTGGTTCACAGGTCGATGCTCAACCACTGAGCCACACTGGCCTGGCAGGAGTGGGGTTCTTACAGGTGTTCTATGCTGACCTGGCAGAGCAGCCCCAGGTGGACAGCAAGAGGCGGGGATAGGTGAGGGCGGCCAGGATGCACCTGTGCAAAGCCAGCTGCTGTAGCCAGAGCAGGAAGTGGGCTAAGGGAATTGCGGGTGGGGAGTGGGGGGCAGGGGTTTGCTGCAGGCTGTTCCGATGCCTCTGGCCCAGGAAACTCCCCTCGGCCGAGGCTGACAACCAGCTGTTCACCTGGCTTGGCTGTCCTGACATTGATGCACTTCTACAGCAGCTGTCAAATGGCCACGCCCAGACTCTCTGAGTTTCCCCCTCACCCCAGCTGTCCTGGCCTCCTTCCCGGGACCCCTCGCCCCCAGGCCTACCTCAGACCCTGCAGGGGCATGCTCCAGGCCTGTGGCTGTTTCCATTTGGACTGGTAGGGTCTCTTATGGGCCATCAAATATTTTTTTAAAATTCACATCAAAACGTTTTTCCCGGCCGGGGTGGGGCCGGGATGGAGCAGGGTCACCTTTGGTCTGTCGGGCTCCCGGGAGTAGGCCGTGTACAGTTCTCTGAAGACTCCCGCATTCCGGGCCTGCAGGGTCTCCTCCCTGTAGATGTGGTCCACCTTGGACTGCCGGCACCCGAAGACCAGGATCATGGGGCAGGGACTCATTCCTGGGGATCAGAAGACCTCATGTCACCCACCGCCCTGGTGCCTGATTGGGGGGGTGGCTGGTGGTGCTGGGAGTGGGTACTGGGAACCCCAGCGGGTGCCATGGAGCTAGACCAGTGGTTCTCAACCTTCCCAATGCCGCGGCCCTTTAATACAGTTCCTCATGTGGTGGTGACCCCCACTTTCATTGTTACACATCGAACATAATGTGAAAGCATAGTGATGAATCACAAAACAATATGTAATTATATATGTGTTTTCCGATGGTCTTAGGCGACCCATGTGAAAGGGTCGTTCGACCCACAAAGGGGTCGCGACCCACAGGTTGAGAACCGCTGAGCTAGAGGGACATGAACACAGGGGCAGGACACACACACACACACACACACACACACACACACACACACACGGAGGTAGGTGAAGTGTGCTCAGACTTTGGCAAGCCTCCCTTCTCTGAGTCTCGATCTTCCCTCCTGACCCCGTGGGAGGGGCTAAGACCCCAGACTTTGGAGCGACACAGCCTGGGTTCGAACCCCAGCTCTGACAACAAGCAACTTGCTTCACTTTCTCTGTCTCCGTTTCCCCCAGGTACAGAACAGGAACAAGAGCAGCTGCCTGATAGGGTTATTGTTAGACATGAATGTCAGACCCCAGAACGGTGCCTGGGAGAAAGCGAATACAGTACAAACGTTAGCTCTTCTACGAGAGCGACAGTTCCACAGGGGCGGGCGTTGTTTCTAGGTTGCTTCTGTCTTGGTCACTGGTATGCCTCCAGCGCCCTCCGCAGTGTTCGGCACTTACTGGATGCTCATTAAATCCCTGTCTGACGCCAACACTGCGGCTCTCTCCTCCCAGAGCCGCTCTGAGTGTACCCCACACAGCACAGCCTGCCCTTGAATACGAGCCTCTGAGGAATCCCATCAACACGCCACTTGAGGAGGCTTCATGTTTACCCTCCAGGGCTGGATTGTAAGGAGGGTCCAATCTTAACCGCCCAAGAGATGGGGCATTTCGGGCCCAAGCATAAGCCAAGGGGGAGATTCGTTCGGGCAGGTCCTGGGAATGGCACCAGGGGTCGGGTCGGAGCGATGCTCCCCAGCCCTCCACAGGCGGCGAGGCTCTGGAGAGATAACGGTCACACCGTGGCTACTGGGCAGGACCCACCTTTGTGTTGGATATCAAACTGCCGCTGCTGCCAGAAGCTTCGGAAAGGGGCGATGCCGGTGCCCGGGCCAATCAGGATGCAGGGCACTTGGGGGTTTCGGGGCAGGTGGAAGCCGGGCGCTCTGGACAAGGGAGAGGAGGTCAGAAGGCTTGCTGGGTCAACTGTGACGAAGAATAGCTGGGTCACCCTGGCCAGTGGCGAGTGTGGGAGGCAACCAATCAGTGTGTGTGTGTGTGTGTGTGTGTGTGTGTGTGTGTGTGTATGTGTGTCTCTCTCTCTCCCCTCTCCCTTTCACTCTCTTAAAAATCAGTGGAAAAAAAATATCATTGGGCGAGGATTAGCAACACAGAACAGTTGGGTCTTAGGGAGACCAGGGCCGTCTTGGGTAGAATACAGCAGGACCTGCAGCTCTTCAGCCTGGCCAGGTGCCCCCGTCAGGGTTGGGGGTCCCACAGATTGGGGGAGTCCCCCGTCTGCCTATCCCTCCACTTCCCAATGAGCCCCGTGCTGAGCCACAAAGGGCAGTGGGGTTTCCTACCTCAGCTCTACTGACATTCGGGGGTGCATACTTCCCTGTGGCGGGGACCATCCTGTACATGGTGGGCTATTGAGCAGCTCCCTGGCCACCACCCTCTAAATTCCAGGAACACCCTCCAGCAGTGACAACCAAAGACATCTCCAGAATCGCCAAATATAACGCCCCCCGCCCCCCCCCACCCCACTGAGAACCGCTGATTTCACCTCCCATGAGAGCTCCTATTACCAGGGAGCCACCCACTCCAGGGGACAAAAGCTTCACCTGGGGGTGTTAAAAGGGGTGCAGGTGTCTGAGGGGTCAGTCAGTCTGGGCTAGGATTCTATTCCCCTCTCTCTCTCTCTCTCTCTCTCTCTCTCTCTCTCATAATCCTCACCTGAGGATATTTTCCCATTGATTTTTAGAGGGAGTGTAAGCAAGTGGTGGGGGGTCGGGGGGAGACAGAAACACATCCATTGGTTGCCTCCTGCATAGGCCCGACCAGGGCCAGGGATGGAATCTGCAAACGAGGTACGTGCCCTTGACTGGAATCGAGTCCGCAGGCCGACGCTCCATCCACTGAGCCAAGCCGGCCAGGGCTGGGACTCTATTTCTGAAGCACCCTGAAAGTACGGGGACCATCCCATCAACAGTCGAGCAAAGTGGCGGGCCAGGGCCACTGTTCAGGGAGAGAAGTTACTGACTGACAAAGCAGCACTTACACTGGGCCGAAGCTCAGGCATGTCCTTTGTTGGTAATTTTTTTTAAAGTAATATTTTAAATTTGGTTGACTGATTGTGATAGGAACACTTAACATGAAATCTACCCTCTTAACAGATTTTTAAGTGCACACGGCGGTACAGGAACCACAGGCAGGAATGTCCTTTACAAGGGAGTTGGGAGAAGGCTCTGATGGATGGTGGTGAGAGATGCTTGGATCTCCCGTTTCTAAGAAACTGGGGACAGCGGGGTGTCCTCTGGAATTTGGACAGAGCCCCCCCTGGTCTGCAAACGCCGTGGAGGCCGAGCCTGTGTCGCGGCTCTCCTGCAGCCGCCGCAGTGAGCTGAGGACATGCACTGGGCACACACCCCTGGCTGACTTCCCTCGGTGAGAGGGCTTTCTCAGCTTCCGCGTGTCCTGTCTCCTGATCCCGCTGCCTTAACACCTGGGAGGGAGGCGGAATGCTGAGCCCGTCTGATCCGGCCGTCTCTCTAGAACCCTTTGGGCTGGTCCACCCACCCCAGCTCGGGAGAGCAGTGTGCAGACTAGGGGTGGCTGCTCACTGCTCTTCCTTCGCACTCACCCTCTCACGAAACAGGGGACCACTTCGTCGGACTGTATCTGGTTGAGCCAGGAGGAGCACACGCCGTGGTGAACTGGTCCTTCTCCATCTAGCAGAACAAACAAGGCGGCTGGCTCACCTCCTGTCCCCGAGCTTCCGGTCATTGGTACCCCCTCCCTTCAGTCCAGAAGGCCCCCGCCCCAATGCCGAGCATCTGCCTTGCAGCTCTGGCCTGGATCCCTTCCTCTGACGGGGAAGAGGAAGTGGTACAGCTGGGGGCAGCCTGTGAGCTGTGAAAGTGCCCAGGGTGCTGCTGGGGAGGGGTGAGTCGGATTCAAATCCTGCCACGGAAAGGGCTTTGGTCAGTGTGTTCTCCGTGGGCTGCCGGGATCCCAGTCTCAGAAAACGCTCCGGCACTGTACATTCTGATTGCTTGATCAAGGAGGGAAAGTACGGGAGAAAAATATCCAGTTATCTGACTGACCTACGACCAGCGGGGACACCTGCAGCAGGGAACGCCCCCCGCCATGCACCGCCCCCCGCCCCATCTCTGAGGAAAGGCATTGTTCTAGCTGCCGCACGGAGCTGGCTCTGCCGAAGGGGACAGTGTGCCTGCTCTGCCATGGGCATCGGTCTCCAGCCAGGGACTTGGGGTTTGGCAGAGCCGCCGGGCCCCTGGGGGGAGAACGCAGACCCGGAGGCTCCCCCAGCACCTCTGCCCACCTCCAGTGCGGTAGGAGACGATGGCCACGGTGAGGTGCACCTCCTCGGGGTACATGTCCGGGGAGGAGCTGATGGAGTAGTAACGAGGCTGCAGGAGGGACAGCTGGGTCAGGAGCAGGGTGGCGGGCATCTGGACGGACTGGAACTCCTCCAGCACCTCCACGATGGTGGGGTTCTTGCTCCATTTCCATTCCTCGTACTCCTGCAAGCCCTGCGCCAAGGAGAGGGGCAGAGGAGAACTCGCACTCAGCTCCAGGTACAGATTTCCACGGGGGCTCCAGGGGCCGGGGAGGAAGGCAAATAAAAATAATAATAGCTAACACTTCACGTTGTCAACACTCTGTGTCAGGTTTTCACTCTCACTCGGACCTGATGAAATAGGTATAATTGTTAAACCCATTTTACAGATGAGGAAACTAAGGGACATAGAGGTGCCATGGCTGACGAGGTAGTGATTCTGGGTTTTGAATCTAGGTCGGGGGTGGCAAACTTCAGCCTGCGAACCAAATCTGCCTAATCCCTTGTTTTGTCTGTTTAAACGGTTTGAGGGAAACATCTGTTATGACCTAAGAATCCTATCTAATAAAAGAGAAACATGGTAATTGGCTTACGACAGCTACCCTTCCCATTGGCTAATCAGGGCGATATGCAAATTAACTGCCAGCCAAGATGGCCGCCAGCAGCCAGGCAGCTTGAAACTAACATGAGGCTTGCTTGCTTCAGTGACGGAGGACTCCAACGTTCCCTGCCTGCCTTGCCGGCCTCTGAGCTTGCAGTTTAAGAAACATTGTAACAAATATAGAAGCTAAACAAAACCCCAGAACCCTGCTTTCAGTGAGCCGGGATCTCAGAGCTGGAGTTATACATTGTTTCGATTATAGAACCGAAACAAACCAGATACCTTCTTTCTGCAGCAGAGGCCTCAGAGCTGGAGCCAGAGCTAAAGCTGGCCCAGAATAAAAAGAAAAAGAAAAAAAGGAGCAGTTGGGAGCTTCAGCCCTCAGCCCCTCACCCAGGCTGGCCAGGCACCCCAGTGGGGACCCCCACCCTGATCCAGGACACCCTTCAGGGCAAACCAGCCAGCCCCACCCATGCACCAGGCCTCTATCCTATATAGTAAAAGGGTAATATGCCTCCCAGCACTGGGATCAGCGTGACAGGGGGCAGCACCCAAACCCCCTGATCGCCCTGTGGCTCTGTGTGTGACAGGGGGCGGGGCCACAACCTCCCTATCCGCCCTGCTCTGTTCGTGACAGGGGAAGGCGCCCCAACCCCCTGATCAGCCCTGCTCTGTGCCTGATAGGGGGGAGCTCCCCAACCCCTGATCGCCCTGTGGCTCTGTGTGTGACAGGGTGCGGCGCCGCAACCGCCCCCCCCCCCCGACCCCACCCCCCTGCCACAGGCCCTGTTCTGTGTGTGACAGGGTAGAGCCATAACCTCCCCATCGGCCCTGCCCTGAGTGTGAGAGTGGCGGCGCCCCAACCACCTGATTGGCCCTGCTCTGTGGGTGATAGAGGGCGGTGCCCCACCCCCCACCCCCCCATGGGCCCTGCTCTGTGTGTGATGGGGTAGAGCCATACCTCCCCATCGGCCCTGCCCTGAGTGTGACAGGGGGCGGTGCCCCAACTCCCCTATCGGCCCTACTCTGTGAGTGACAGGGGGGAGCTCCTCAACGCCCTGATCGGCCCTGCTCTGTGCATGACAGGGGGGAGCTCCCCAACCCCGATTGAGCCTGCTCTGTGCGTGACGGGGTACGGAGCCCCAACCCCCCTGATGGGCCCTGCTCTGTGCATGACAGGGGGCAGCGCCCCAACCCCCTGATTGGCCCTGCTCTGTGCATGACAGGGTACGGAGCCCCAACCCCCCTGATGGGCCCTGCTCTGTACGTGACAGGGGGTGGTGCCACAACCTCCCCATCGACCCTGCCTTGAGTCTGACAGGGGGCGGTGCCCCAACCCCCCAATCGGCCCTACCCTGAGCGTGACTGAGGGTGGCATCGCAACCTCCCAATCTGCCCTGCTCTGTGCATGACAGGGGGCGGCGCCCCAATTCCCCAATCGGCCCTGCTCTGAGCCCGAACAGGGGCTGCACCTAGGGATTGGGCCTGCCCTCTGCCACCCGGGAGCAGGCCTAAGCCAGCAGGTCGTTATCTCCCGAGGGGTCCCAGACTGCGAGAGGGCACAGGCCGGGCTGAGGGACCCCTCCTCCCCCCCAAGTGCACAAATTTGTGTGCACCGGGCCTCTAGTCCTATGTAATAAAAAGATAATATGCAAATCCACCAAATGGCGGAAGGACTGGTCGCTATGACACACACTGACCACCAGGGGGCAGACGCTCAATGCAGGAGGTGCCCCCTGGTGGTCAGTGAGCTGCCCCCTGGTGGTCAGTGAGCTGCCCCTTGGTGGCCAGTGAGCTCCCACAGGGGGAGCGCTGCTCAGCCAGAAGCCAGCCTCACGGCTAGTGAGCGCAGCGGCAGTGGCAGGCGCCTCTGTGGCAGCACTAAGGATGTCTGACTGACAGCTTAGGCCCGCTCCCCCAAGGGCTCTCGGACTGCCAGAGGGCCAAGCTGGGCTGAGGGATCTCCCTCCCCAAGTGCACGAATCTCATGCACCGGGCCTCAAGTGTGATATAATATTCAAAATAGAATACTATTTTATGACCTAAAATATGATATAAAAATCAAATTTCAAGTTCAAAATCCATAAATAAAGTGAGATTGGAACCCAGTCACACCCCCTCACTGACGTATTGTCTAGGCCCGTGGTCGGCAAACTGCAGCTCGCGAGCCACATGCGGCTCTTTGGCCCCTTGAGTGTGGCTCTTCCACAAAATACCACGTGCGGGCGCGCATGTACAGCGCGATTGAAACTTCGTGGCCCGTGCGCAGAAGTCGGTATTTTGTGGAAGAGCCACACTCAGTTTGCCGGCCACGGGTCTAGGCTGTTGTACTACAGTAGCAGAGCCGAGTGGTTGCCAGAGACGGAAAGGACTGGGAGCCTCAAACATTTACTCCCTGGCCCCCTTTCCGGAGAAAATGTGGGGAGCCGTACCCGAGGCAGTCTGGCCCCAGAATCTGGGCTCCTGACCTTCACACTGGCCCGCAGGATGTGAAGGTCAAAACAGGCACCGTGGAGGGAGTCCTGACTCCCAGGTATAGAATGCCAACGTGCAATCTGTGGGTTTGCAAGGGTGCAGGTGCCTCTGCAGACAGCATGCTCCCACGGTAAATGACAGTCCCCAAGGGACAGGTCAGGGGGCGGGGGGCCGTGCTAGGGGCATGCTGACAGTAAAGCCCAGCTGTGGCTAGGGAACAGAGGGGTCCCCAGAGGCTCCAGAGAGATTCTTCCTACATCTCAGAAGCTGCCCCGGGCAGTCCTTTTGGGTTTGGGAGGCTCAGGTTTGAGGAGAGGAAAGGCCATGACAGTGCATTGGGTAAGAGCACCTTTTCCCAAGTCTCTAGAGACCATCCTTGGGTTAGTGACAGGGTGCGGCATCGCTGAGGATGTGCCTCCCAGACCTTCAGTGACCTTCAGCTGCAGCGGCCCAACTGGCCAAGAGCCCCAGCAGCTGCTCTCTGAGTGACACCCACCGACACCAACACGATCACCTGCGCTGGCCTTGCCCGAGAATGCCTGTGCGACCCGGGACCCGTCCGTGCCACCTCCTCCCCTCCCCTTCACTTGGGGTCAGGCTTGTTTTGACGTCTCATGGTTCTCCCCGACTTATCTGACTCCCTTCCCATTTTCTCTCACCCAGGTCTTTCCCCTAATAAAAATCCTTGTTCACTCAATCTTGTAGTTTATGCTCTTTGGAAAGAAATAAAAATACAGTTACAGCCAATTCTACTTTAAATAATCCTATTGCCTGGCCGGCGTGGCTAGGGGTTGAACATCAACCTATGAACCAGGAGGTCACAGTTCGATTCCCAGGTTTCGGGTTCGATCCCCAGTGTGGGGCGTGCAGGAGGCAGCCGATCAATGATTCTCTCTCATCACTGATGTTTCTCTCTTTCTCTCTCCCTCTCTCTTCTGCTCTGAAATTAATAAAAATATATTTTAAAAAATATTTTTTAAATCCCGTGGAAGCAGAGCAAGTTCTGGTTCCTCTTATTAGTCACACTTCCCATTAACTTAAAAATTTTAATCAAACTTATACACGGACAGTTTAAAAAGTTAAATAATTCTGCAAACTTATGAGGAAAAGGATGCCCTTCTGTTCCACCTCTCCCATCGGTTTCCGGCCCCCCAGAGGCGTTTCTTCTCGGTTTACATATCTGTCTCTAAGTCACATGCACGCCTTGCATGGCCCCTGCCTTGCGGACCACCATCCAATCCACCTTTGGCAGCAGAAGAAAGCTAAACCACCTTTGCTGGTGGCTTGCGTACCAGGGAAGAGCCCCCACTGGGTGGGATTCCTACTGCGCAAGGCTCGGCAGCAGCTGGAGCAGACGGGCCCTTGGTTTCTAAGCAAGAGCGGGAGCAGCTGTGTTTGCTGGCTTCACCTTTCCACCAGAGCCCTCCTTTACCTTGAACCTTTACCGACAGCTGCTCTGCACCGGCAGAGGCTTCGCTGTGAGACAGGGCACTGTGAGGTTCCCCATTTCTTTTTCTTCTAAGCATCGGCTAAGAAGTTTCCACTATGGTCCAAGAACTTTGAGATTCAATGAGGTCACTCGTGTCCTATCAGGGCTCAGAAACAGGCGAGATGGTCTGGACCAGCGGTTCTCAACCTTCCTGATGCCGCGACCCTTTAATACAGTTCCTCATGTTGTGGTGACCCCCAACCATAAAATTATTTTCATTGCTACTTCATAACTGTAATGTTGCTACTGTTATGAATCGTCATGTAAATATCTGATATGCAGGATGTATTTTCATTGTTACAAATTGAACATAATTAAAGCATCGTGATTAATCACAAAACATTATGTAATTATATATGTGTTTTCCGATGGTCTTAGGCGACCCCTGTGAAAGGGTCGTTCGACCCCCAAAGGGGTCGAGACCCACAGGTTGAGAACCGCTGGTCTGGACTCACCCTGATGGACTTTCTGGGAACTAGAAAACGGCAATGTCTGCTCAAGACTGCCATCTGCTGGAACTGTGCTGTAATACCAGACAACTCGGCCAGGCCGAGCAGGTGGAAGGCGAGCCCTGGGGCTGCAGGGGGCCAGGACCCACCTTGCTGAGGACCAGCAGCTGCTGCTTCTCTTTCTCGCTGGTGGCCAGGGAGGCGAACTGCTGCAGCTGCAGGGGCGTGGGCGGCGTGGTGATGTCCAGGTAGTACTTGAAGGCCTGGAAGATGGTGCAGGGCGGGAGGCGGCGCTCATCCGTCCAGTTGCGGATGACTCCTGTGGAGGCAGTGGTGGTCGGCGCGGGTGGGGCAGGAGAGCGGGAGCTCTGAGGGCTTGGGTCCCCGTCAGGATGGGGCTGGCTGAGCCCAGCAACCCCTCGCCTCTCCACCTTCCATATCCCACCTCTACACCTCATGTGCGAGGAGCATATCCAAAATGCATTGTAGGCAAACTAGTCCAAAAATTAAAAAGCAAGTATTCAAGTAGCATGAGACAGTCCCCAGGCATTCCACGCAGCGAGCCACCAACTGAGCGCGAGTCATGCCTGTCCCCTGGCGGGATCAGTCTCTCCCTCCTCTGAGCGGGAACCAGTGTTTACAATGGCGAACGTGCTTAATTAACACTGACCTAGTATATTCTATGTGGCAAGTCCTGGGCTCAGCACTTTATATGAACTCCCAGAATCCTTCTCATCTCCCAGACTCACCACCATCCTAGGCGGCACGTGCTATTATTCTCTCCCTTTTGCAGCTGAGATCAATGGGAGCCCAGAGAGGTTAAGGAATTTGCCCAGGGTCACACAGCTTGTAAGTGTGAAGTCAGCGGTCTGTCTTGTAACTATCACACCGAACTGCTTCCGTGTACTTTTCATTCACTATAACCCCCAAACACAAGCCTCTCCTTCAGCAGGGACTCCACCCAAGAGAAACAGGCGCAGTTCCAACACTAACACCGGCTGCCTGGGACTGATTCGAGGTGTGTCTCTCCACGTGGTGCCCTCCCAGGGCCGCGGTCGGCAAACTGCGGCTCGCGAGCCACATGCGGCTCTTGGGCCCCTTGAATGTGGCTCTTCCTAAGCCTTAGGAGTCCCCTAATTAAGTTAATAACAATGTACCTACCTATATAGTTTACGTTTAAAAAATCTGGCTCTCAAAAGAAATTTCAATCATTGTACTGTTGACATTTGGCTCTGTGGACTAATGAGTTTGCCGGCCACTATCCTAGGGGATCTGCAACAGGGCTGTGCCTACATGCTGTGCTCACGCGCTGCCCTGACTGTACCCCGAGCTCCTCTGTAGCGGCGATACGCACTGTATCACCGGCGGCCGGGCCCGCAAGGCCACTGCCGCGCCTCGTCCTGAGCCCTGCGCTCACCTGCACCTACTGAGATGACGCACTGACTCCTCTGCCTTTGCAAGTTCTTTGGTGGGAACGTCAAGAACGGCTGAGGAAGCAGGTGGGGGCGTGAACAATGAGGTCTGATACGCGGCCTCATGCCTAGTGGGCACTGCATACAGCGCCTTTGGACCCTCAGAGGAGGCAGGGTCAGATTCCAGCTGCCGTTTACTCTGTGGGCACGGGGGCGGCGGTGACACAAAAGGAAGCAGAGGGTGCCCAGCTCCAATCAGTCTCCCCATCGGTGTCCTGGCATCACAGACAATAGAGCAGCCAGCTGGGCCAAGGTTGTTCAGCCAAGAGAAATGGGGAGTGAGTGTTCTGTCTCATAAGCTGGAGGCAACAGAGACCCACCCTCCTACCCGGGTTGGTGATTGGGGCCAAGAAGGGGTCTCCTCTTCCCAGACGCCCACTGCCTCTGGGACTCCCTGGGAAGGGGAGGGCCTAGGAGTGGGCGGGTGGGGTGCCCGCGGCCGTCCTTACCCAGAGCCGTGCTCCGCTCTTCCAGCAGCTCCACTTTCACCAGCTGGTTGATAGGGGGCGCGTCTTCCAGCCGCTCGATCAGGGCATTCACCAGGTCCTCCTGGTTGCCAGGGAAGACGCCCAGGTGGTCCCCAGGCTGGTACTGCAGCTCCTGATGCCCATTGGTGTGGAGACGCACGAAGATGGTTGACCGGCTGGAGGGAAGGCCCGGGGACAATGAGCTAAGGCATCACCAGCCACTGCCCCCTTTCTTTGCTCCTTTGGGGGTCCCATGGCTGCAGTTTCCCTCCTTCCATTCTCCTCGGGGCCCAGGCCAGCCAGACTCCTGTCCCCCTCGTTTCCACACCCCGGCGTTAAGCAGGGTCACCTGGGAGCTCGCGAATCCAACAGCCAGTTCTAGCGCCCACGCTGGTCAGGGCGCAGCACAGGGCACAGCCCCTCTGTCTTCCTTCTCGCGGGTCCTGGCCTCCCCTCTGGCTGCCCTCGCTCAGTCTCCTTGGCTGGTTCCTTCTCATCTCCCCAAACTCGGGACCTTGGCGCTCCCAGGGCTCAGTCCTCAGTTGGCTTTGTTTTTCTATCTCCTGCCCCAGCTTTTCTCTTCTCCATCGCAGTGGCCATCCCCTGACCCACAGTAGCATTTACTTGGTTATCCAGTCTGTGGTCTGTCCCCCTGCCCATCCTCTGGCCCCCACAACACTGTAAACTCTAGAGGACAGGGGGTTGGTGTGTCTGTTTTGTTCAGGGCTCTATTCCTGGCACCGAGGACAGTGCATGGCACATAGGTGCTCAAGAAGTATTTTGTTGGTTGAAGGCACCTCAGTCTCCCAGCTGCCAGGACAAGCTTTGGCTCAGCAGCAATGGGGGTCCCCTCGACACCTGGAGCGAAGGCAGTGGTGTCCCCCCAGAATCCTAAACTTCACACCTTTTGCAACTGGACGTCCTCACATTGCCATGGAAAAGGGGACAAGGACCTGCCCTGAAGCTTGGGTTGTTGTTAAACCCATATCCACCCGATGCTATAAAAATGGAGAGATCCAAGGAGAAACCCAGAGAGAACCTCGTTCCCACCTGCCGGGCGCCCCTTCTCATGGACTCTTTTATGTCCAGTGCAGGGAGGCCTGACCCAGGGGAATGGGGGCCTCCGGAAAGACTTCTCAGACTTCGGTTATTCTGGTTGGTGTCAAGTTTTAGCACAGACACTACGTTTTCCACAATATTTGAAAGCCTGGGGACTGACCACACGCTGGCCCATCAAATCCCTCGTGCACCTCGCGTTATGGTCGCATTTCGGCCCTGCTCCCTCGTCTTTGACAACTGGTTTTCAGTTGATAGAGAACTTGGCATTCAACAGGAAGTTTCCATTCTCCCTCGAATAATCATCACTTGAGTAAACCAATGGGGCTTGCTATTTAAAGGAGCTTTTGGCGGAACCAGAGCCCTTTTGTGCTGCAAATAGCCGCCATTATTAAAAATAGCTGTGCTGGCACACTTGCTTTTTGGGGTGTCAAGTATTTTTTTGAAGAGGGGACTTTGGCGACTGAAATTGTGAATGGCGGTGTGAGGGCCTGGGTCCCGCTCTCCACCCCTGGGCAGATTTTGCCTTCTCTGGGGCACTGATTTTACGCACAATTGATTCTGCTTTGAGCTCACACCCATCTTGGTTCCCAGAGCCAAGACATTACCCACTGCTAGGTCCAGGGAGGGAATTAGCAGAGACTGATGGCCAGCAGGTGGCGCTGTGGGGCTGCTAATTTGGGAGCCTCCTGAGACCCACAGGAACCCTTGGAAAGGCCTGCGAATCAATTCCACTTTCTCCCAGATCATCACGATTTCTTTCAGAAGTGTACTTGCCTCTGTTCCTTTGGCTGGAACAAAATACAAATGCAGAGGACACGAACTTGCTGAGCTGGCTCACGTTCACAGCCACTGGCCCCAAGTCCTCTTGAACGTAGCAGAAGGTGGCCAGGCAGATAAGGGGCAGGATGGGGGTGGAGCTGGCAGGGGAGCTAGGAGGCCGGCCGGCCAAGGCTCTGACCGGGCTGGGCTTGCTGACAACTCCAGCACAGAATGCCCGCATGGTCCCAGGGCACCTTGATGGGCTGGGCCTTGAAGCTTCGCAGGAAGCTGACCCTGGTGGGTAACACTAGCCTGGAGACCGAATGTCTTCAATCTCAGTCCTGTTGGAGGTTTCTAAGTGTAGGATTTTCTAGGCCTTCTTAAAAAAAACACACACCTTGGGGCACCTATGGACCATTGAAAAGTATTAGGGGAGAAAGAAGGGAAGTATTGGGGAGGTAGCAGCCATTTGGGCCGTCACCTCCTTCCCCAGAGTAGACCCTGCCTGTGCTGTATTTATATCCACATACAGAAGCATAACAGACACACACAGACACACACACACACCCCCGCGTGCATGTGCTTGGCAGTGGTTCAATGCCAGGTTCCCAGATAAAACAATAGTCTGCTAATGCCCAGCATTAAATGAAACAAACAAACAAACAAAAAACTACTGTTAAATTTTTCAAGAAAAGGGTAAACACTGTCTGTCAAGAGCAGTTTGAGTTAATAGGTTCATTCCACTAATTTATACTGCGTGTCAGGCACTGTACTAGGCACTGGGGAGACAGTGGCAGATACGGCTAATTCCCTCCCTGGAGCTAGCACAAAGTACCCTGACTTCATTGGGAGGTGACTTAAAAAGATCCCAGATAGAGTTGCTGATGTGGATGGTGGGTGGTGATGGGTTGGGGGCAGTGGGCTGAGGCCACCAGATAAGAGTGGTCAGGGAGGCCTCTCTGGAGATTTGACATTTGAGCAGAGACCTGAACAATGAGAAGGGGTAGACACGCAAATATGTGGGGGGAGAGTGTTTCCGAGAGGAGGAGCAGCACGTGCCGAGGCCCTGAGGTAGGAAATAGTGTGGTGTGGCCGAGGAAGGGAAAGGAGGCTGGAGCGTTTGGAGAGTGATGGAGACAGGCTGCGTGGAGGAGGAGGTCAGGGAGCTGGGCGGAGGTCATGACCTGCTACCAGCAGGAGACCAGAGGTTTCGTACGTTCAGTGGGTGTGCAGCTGTGGAGGGGTAGGTGTCAATGTGCATTTGGAAAAGATTCCTCTGGCTGCTGTTGGAGATTGGATCTTTGAGGGAAAAGCCAAGAAACAAAGAGAAAGGGTAGGTGCCTACTGCAGCCACTCAGACCAGAGGTCATCATGGCTTGGCTCAAGGTGGCACCTGGGACCCGGATGCGCAGTGTGAGAGGAGGTGAGGAGACTGGAGTTTTGGCTTCAGCCAAATGTTGATGTTTTCTGTTGCTATGGTGAAGGCTGGAGAGAGGCAATGTATCAGAGGGGACATGGAAATCAAGAGCCCAACCATCTGAGCATTGACCCTTGAACCAAGAGGTCACTGGTTCGATTCCTGGTCAGGGCACATGCCGGGGGTTGTGGGCTCGATCCTCAGCAGGGGATGTGCAGGAGGCAGCCAATCAATGTATCTCTCTCATCGATGTTTCTACTTCTCTATCCCTCTCCCTTCCTCTCTCTCTAAAATCAATAAAAACACATTTAAAAAAAGCAGTTATATGAAAAATAAAATTTCAACCATCAAGACCTCTCCTTTGTATGGTCCCACCAGTCTCTAAGGCCACCAAGTGCTCAGGCCCTTGTGTACCGCAGTTCTCTTCTGCCAGGTCCCTCCGCCGCTCTCGCCTGCCTGGCTCAGCCCGTCCTGCATTTCCCTCCTCCTCCTGCTCCAGGACTCCAGGCACACCCCACCCATTAGTGCTCCCGTATACACTCTCCTGCACTGTTTGCTAATGGGTGCTCAGACATTAGAAAATGTATTTTCTGGCCAGGCAGTAACTGCGATCACTTTTCTCTTTAGATTTGCAAGGACCACCCTTGAAAGGCTGTTTACTTCCTCTTAAGCACTTTGCTTGCAATTAAGGGTCTCTAGTGGGGTCGCTGCTGATAGCTTGCTTATGGTCTCCTGGGTCCAACAGCCCGACTTGGGCCTTGGGCAGGGAAAAGCAGGAGAGAGTCATGCTTTTTTCACTCAATTAACCCTTCAGAAAACCTTATAAAAGCTGGAACTCGTAGTAAGCCCCTAAACAGGTAGTGACACAGAACATGCTTTTAAAGAGATAAACCCTCGACGCAATCTGATCCTTTGGTGCGAATCCACGCTGCCGCCCCGCTCCCGACCTTGTCGAAATGCTCCTGGAGCAGCCCCTCGGCATGGAGTCAGCTGCCCTTTGCAGAGGTGGGAGGGGAGCTATTCTGGGACTTTGGTCCAACTTAGCATCAGAACATTTGCCAATTAACTTGCTTGTTGGGTGCTATGGTATAGGGAGTGATTTTTATGATCTGGTCTTTTCTAGTAGGTTCTTAAGTCCCTTCTCTTATAATGCTGCTTAAGTCACACCTTTGCACAGGACAGAAAGGAGAAGTAAGATGTGCAGTATTTCAAATGCAGAGTCCTTCTCTAGATCAGAGGTTGTTACGTTGTGCATATTGCATTTAACTAGCTATTCAGAAGGACCAATTTCCCAACCCATTTCTTTAATGTCTGAAGATCTAAGAGAGAGGCCTGGGATTCCATCCTGTTGGTCAAAGTCTTGAAGCCCATGTAAGAAAGCAGGCACACTAACTTTGCAGGTGCATGAAGCTGGGATGGATGCAGACTAGCCATGGGAAAGGAGGATATAACTGTTGCTCTGTGTACGTGTCTATAATATAGCAGCCTTGCAATGCGGTGGAGGCCATATGGATAGGCATTCAGTGTCTTGACCTTGGAGTTAGAGAAACCAAGTCTGTGTGACCTTGAAAAAGTCACTTGCATTTCTAATGGTCATTTCTCCTATTTAAAATGTGGATGATGATGGTACCTCCTTCCTGAGCTGGTCAGAATTATGGGAGATCCTGCAGAGAATGGATCAGAATGGTGCTTGGAGCACAAAGTACTAGATAAACGTCAGCTATCTTTGTCGTCCTCACTGTCATCTGAGATAAGGGGACAGGGGCTCCGAGGACCCGAAGGCCTTGCCCAAGGTCACACCGCTGCTGCATGGCAGAGCTGGGGTCACCAGCCAGGGCTGTCCAGCTCAGGAGGCCACTCTTTGTCCTATGCCACGCACGCAAAGAATCGAGATTTAAAAAGATCTTCATGTGCTATAACTGCAAAGTGAAAAGGATTCCAGCCGATGGGGATCAATGCAAAGATATTCACGTGTGCTAAGAAAAGATCGGAAAGCTAAGTCGCCCTGGCCAGGTGGCTCCATTGGTTGGAGCATAGGCCTGTACACCAAAAGGTTGTGGGTTTGATTCCCGGTCAAGGCAACTGATTGATGTTTGTCTCTCGCATTGATGTTTTTCTCCCCCCTATCCCCTAAAAATCAATAAAACATACCCTCGGGTGAGGATTAAAAAGTGAAGACTTGATAGCTAAGAGCAGCAAATCCCTAAGCTTACACGGGAGCTCAGCATGGCTGCTAGAACGAGGCCTGCAACCTCGGCGCCTTGGGGCGTCGTGTTCCCATCAGGGATGGTAACAATAGCCTCGGCGCACTTGGCAGTGGTCACAGGACCTGCACTGCACTGTGACCAGGTCTGCAATGACACTTCCAGCAGGACAGAGCGTGTCCTTATACTAAAGCGAAAGGCGTGGGAACCAGGTCTTAGGAAGAGCAATTGGAAGGAATCAGGGCCCAGGAGAGATTGGCCAAGGTCTTGACTCTTTGCAGGTGTTTCATCTGGAAGAAGCAAACATTTTCATAGGTGTCCCCAGAGGGTGTCACTGGGATCAAAATGAAGTGCTAGGGAGAGATGCTTTGTCCTAAGCTACATTAGGGCGATTCCTAACACTCAGGACTTCAAACACACAGTGGCTGCTTTGTGCAGTAATGAGCCTCCCGCCATTCCAAAAGCCTGTAAGCAGGACTCTAGAGAAGCCTTACCCACCAGGAGACGATGCCTGGACTAAGTGATTTTGACTGAGGTGCTATGGCACAATGAGCAGTTCTGCAAGGGAGAGGTCTACGTGGGAAACTTTTCATAGAACCGTTCTCTTTCCACAGTGATCACCACCACCTCCTTCTCCTGTCCCTCCAGGTGGGGGCTTGGAAAGGAAAAGCAGGAAACCAACATGCTACAAAGCCGCAACGGGGTCTCCATGGCACTTGGGATGGGAAACCGGTGTCTGGAGTCAGCAGGGACTCCAGCCTCCCTGTGGGGGCTTCTGGAGCAGCGGGTGGTACCTGGGTGAATAAGGTTCCCACCTGGATTTAGGACTCTGAAGGTTCTGACGGCTGAGAAGACGAGCGGCTGAGACCCGCTTCTTGTGCATGTTGGATAGACCTGCAGGGGGGAAAAACAGAAGCCTCCTGAAATGGGTTAAACAGTTGTCCGTAGAACATCTTCAGCTTCTACCGACCCTCTACTCACACTCCCACTGTCCCCTGGAGCAGCGGTCGCTAACTTTCGGACCTCACGGACCACCAGTGGTTGGCGGGCCATCAGTGGCCGACCGCTGCTCGGGAGTGAAGCGAAGGGAAAAGAAGGAAGAGGTCAGGCGGCTGTGGTTGGGGTGGGTGGGGTGGTTGCGGAAATGCAGGACACAGAGCAAGTCTGGTTGGGCTGATTGAGAAGAGGACGGTTCGGGGTAACGCCCCATCCTCTGGGAAAGAGAGATGTCCATGTGCATGTTCCACTGAGCGCGGGGCAGCAGCCGTGTCTTCATTGGGAGGACTGAACGGAAGGGCCTAAGCGAGGACGCCCACTTTCTCTCAGCACCTCTCCCATGTGACAGCTCCAGACTCTCCTTTGCCCCACCGTCCTGAGCACCCCCCCGGAGCCTGGTGAGAGGTACCTTGTGTGAGCTCTGGAGCTTCGGCCACGTAGGTGAGGCGGAACTTGTTCCTCTTCCAGCTGCGGTCATTGCTGATGAGGGAGTTGTTCGCCTTCTCAATGTTGACATCATCTCCCACGCAGAACACGTCACAGGCTGTCTGTGGCACATACAGGGCTTTCAGTGGCCTCCGTCAGCCAGGAGGGACTCCCCTCCAACAGCTCTGAGTCATGGCATGTATCCCACCATCCAACCATCCATCCATCTACCCACCTACCCACCCATCCCTCAACCCCTCCATCTATCAACCCCTCCAACTCCCACCCATCCACCCACGCACCCATCCACCCACCAGTCTGTTGGTCCATCCATCCATCTACTAATCCATCTATATTTTTGGAGTGCCTTTGATGTGCTGGACATATCACATTTACTATTGTCTTTAGGACCCCACATCTATCTCGTATGTAACTCTATGTACTTATTTATAAAACCAACATGTGTAGAGGTCTATTATTAAACAAGAAAGGAAACACGTTAGAATTTCCTATCCATCTTCCTCTACAGATTTTAAAAAGTTACATTAAAGGCAGAATATATTGAATGTCTGTATACCTGCACATACATTTATTTTTCATTTGCTAAGTTTATAAGTTCTCTAACTCTAGTGATCCTAAGAATTACTGTTCAGAATTATTTTTAGAGATAAAAGCCACTGATAACTCCAAAGGTTCTCAAGGATAGCTTTTCACCAATTTTTGGGCTCGTGCTGATTTTTAGATGATTCCAATGTCCATCAACTGATGAATGGACAAACGAAATACGGTATATCCATAGAATGGAATATTTGGCCATGAAAAGGAATGTTCCTTCATCGAGTGATCATGGTTAACATCTCTAAAATAAGTTATGTTGACCCTGGTATCCTGGCATGATGTGATGCAGACACCTCTCTTCTGGGATATTCTTCCCCCAAACCTATCACCCGACTCTAATCTTGAAAAAAAGATGAGACAAGGTCAAATTGAGGGACACGCTACAAAATGCCTCACCAGTACTCTTAGAGACTCTTAAGATCATGAAAGGGACGACTGAGAAACACAGCTGAAGAGATGAAGAGATGTTTTGACAATGCGATATGGTAGCCTGGATTTGATCTTGAAACAGAAAAAGGGCATCGGTGGGAAAACGGGTGAAACCTGAAGAAAGCCTATATCACTGTATCACTGTTCCTAGTTTTGACACTTGTACCATGGTTATGTTAACAGGAACTCTTTGTTATGGAACTCTTTGTACATCCTTGTTACTTTTCTGTAATCTCAATGTATTATCAAATAAAAAATATTAAAAAGAAAGGAATGAAGTACTGACACATGCTACAACATGGAAGAACCTCGAGAATATTATGCTAAAGTGAAGGAAGCCAGGCACGAAAGACCACATTCATATGAAATGTGCAGCATAGGCACATCCCTAGAGACAGAAAGCAGATTAGTGGTTGCCAGGGCTGGGGTTGGAGTGTGAGGATAGGGGGGTAACAGCTCAAGGACAGAGTGGCTTGTAACAGACCCTGCTTCTGGGATGCTCAAAGTTGGTCGATTGAAGTCAACAACCATACAGTTATCTTGAGGTGTGAGAAAAGCCAAGTTATCTCCACTCTCCCCATCCAGGAAGAAAGCAGGAACAGGCTATTGACAGCCTCCCACACAGGTTTCTTTATAGCTCAGAGGCCTCAGTTTCCCACTTGCTCTACACCTGCATTTGCTTTCAGAATGAAAAGTATCAATTGGATGACAGAAGGTTGCGTAGCCCCTTTTCTCCAGGGGCTGCTGGTAAGGTGGTTCTCCAGGGCCGAGGAAAGAGCAGGTAAAGGTGGGTCTGTAGTTATTGCTTTTTCGTTCTCCCCGAAGGGCAACTAAATCATGCCCCACAGGCAGATAGGAGGCCAGTAGTCCTTTATCCTCCTGTGGCCTCATGTCTAGAGTAGGATGTCCTAGCAGGATGGAATGGGTCTGTGCTGTCTGACAGGGGGACCACCAGCCACTTGTGGTTTTTGAGCACACGAAACATGGCTGGTGCTACCGAGAAATGGACGTTTTAATCCAATTTAATGTATACATAGAAAATTAATATAGAATAACCTATTAATATAGAATGAATATATATAGAATGAGATAAATGACCTATATATAAATGAACTATATTTTATATAGTTATGTATTCTCATGAAGAGTGAGAAAGGATAATTCATACCATATAAAATTCACCATTTAAAAATGTACAAGTCAGTGGTTTTTAGTATATTTACAAGGATGTGCTGCTGCCACTACCATCCACTTTCAGAACATTTTTGTGACCTCAAAGACACTCTGTACCATCATTAACAGTAACTTCCATTTCCGCTTTTTTCAAAATCTTGGCAACCACTAATCTACTTTCTGTCTCTACAGATTTGCCTATTCCAGACATTTCACATAAATGGAATCATATAATACGTGGCCTTTCGTGTCTGGCTTCTTTCACTGAGATCATGTTTTCAAGGTTCATCCATGTTGTAGCATGTGTCAGGACTTCATTCCTTTTTATGGCTGAAGAGTATTCTTTTGCATAAGCATACTGAATTTTATTTATCCATTCATCATATTTAGATTTAAACAGCCACATGTGGCTAGTGGCTCCCACAATGGCCAGTGGGATATTTAGCATAAGAGGAATATGCTTCTCCAAGTAGACAAGTTGGTGAGATCTGAGTTCCAGGTCAAGGCATGGCCCTTGATTTAGTTAATCAATTCTATGTGTTTTGTCTACTTGTCGACCAAATGTGAGTGAGGGCTGGATTCCTCCCTGAAATTCCAAGACTCTGTAATTTCTTTTGTAGACCAACTCCTTAGCCACATGAAGGAGTTTGGGTTCAGGGTGGAGAATGTGTGTTGTAAGGTCACCCAAGCTCATCTGAGTTGTTTAAAGCTGCCTCCTGGGTGGATGCCTGGGGGAAGTACCCGGGGTCCTCCCAAGTTTCTTCTCTTTCTGATGGTTTAGGAAGTCTGTCTTTGGGGGCCAAGGGGAGCATGACTTTTCCCCCTGGGTCTCTGAGATCTGGGGGGATGGTTACCTTGAAGACCTTCTTGGCCCAGGTCCTGAACGCCTCCTCCTGCCCACAGAGCTCATCCCCTTCCTTCATCTTCAGGATCCTCTCTCCTCCCAGCTCTTCCAGGAGGGTGTCCACAGCGTGGCCAAAGGCGCAGAAGTGCGGGTATGCTCTCGAGCCAAGGCCAAACACTGAGAACCTGCCAACGAGACAAGAGAAAGCTCATGTGAGGTTGGGCTGAGGGGGTGCCTGGTGCTGTGAATAGAACCATGCCTCCCCAAATTCATATGTTGAAGCCCTATCCCCAGTGTAACTAATTGTATTTAGAGATGGTGCCTCCAAGGTGGTAACTGAGATGAAATGAGGTCCCTAATCTAATAGAACTGGTGTCCTCATTAGAAGAGGAAGGGACACCTGAGTCCCCCTCTCTCTGCATGCGCACAGTGGAAAGGCCAGGTGAGGACACACAAGAAGGTGGCTGTCTGCAAGCCAGGAAGAGAGGCCTCACCAGAAACCAGTCCTACTAGCACCTTGATCTTGTACTTCCAGCCTCCACAACTGTGAGAAAATAAACTTCAAGTGTTGAAGCTACTTTGTCCGTGGTGTTTTGTTAAGGCCACCCAAGCAGGCCAAGACACCTGTTTGTTTGTTTTTCTCTCCCAGAAGGACTGTGGTTAGCCATGATGGTCAGGCAACCCCAAGCCTATTGGAGAAGGCTATCATTCAAATAGCCTCCCCCGGGGGCTTCTCCCTTCCTCTGGTATCTACTAGGCCAGTAGTTCTCAACCTTCTGGCCCTTTAAATACAGAACCTCATGTTGTGACCCAACCATAAAATTATTTCCGTTGCTACTTCATAACTGTCATGTTGCTACTGTTATGAATCATAACGTAAATATCTGATATGCAAGATGGTCTTAGGCGACCCCTGTGAAAGGGTTGTTCAACCCCCAAAGGGGTCGCGACCCACAGGTTGAGAACCGCTGTACTAGGCAATACTGTCCTCAGGAGAAAATTCCCCATTTGTCCTAAGGACGATGAGTCGGGGGTAGTGATCATCCAGAATCATTGGCTGTTCCCTGTGTGTCCCTTTCTAAGTTGGACTAATTGGGAATATTTGTCTACATTATTGGGAAGCTTAAATTCTACAAGTTTTGGAATTCTACAAAACAGAGGAGTTTTAAGCACAAAGACAATGGAAATTATAACACAGAGGTCCTCGGGGGCCTGTATGAATGAGGAGACCAAGAGGACTTGTTGCTGACACGTCACATGTGTGTGTGGACAGGCCCTTCTGAAAGGGGAGGAGGGGTTTGTGAATGTGCTGGCTCCGCCCCTTGCAATGTCTATGAAATTAATTGGTCTCACAGACCCTCCTTGCATAGCCACCACCAAGATGCTGCTCTCTGAATAGATGGGGGTCAAGTTAGTGAGATTTCGGTCGATGTAGAGATGGGGACTGGCTGCTTTCCGGTACGGGAAGTGGGGGGCTGGGCCTCAGGGGGCCCCTCTTCCTAGCTCGGTGTATCCTACAGACACTTGATGTCACACTTCCAGGGCTTGGTCCCGGCTGTAGGTCTTGACCTCTCGGGACTGGAGTGACAGGTTCCCAGCGGGACAAGCATGCCCCATCCCGCTTCTTCCCCAGGTCGGAGTGTTCTGCTGCAGACCGTCACGGCAGACACACCAAGGAGTGGAGCTGTCTGAACTACTCCATCCAGAGTCTGGTGCTGTCCCCAAATCTCATTTTTAGGACAAGGGGTCCAAGATGGTGAGATGGGGGGGCAGGGGTGGAGGCAGGAGACGCTGGGAAGCAATTCCATCATGGAGAATGAACTTGAGATAGGTCCAGGTGTCTCACAGGTCAAATGAAAGTTATCCCCTCCTTTCTCATCTCACTCTCCTCCTCTTTCCTGCCCTCCATTCCTCCTGGTTCCAGAGCCTTTCCACGGTAAGTGGATGAGAGTAGGCGGTGTTTTCCCCCATCCCTCCTGCACCTACGATCTTCCTGGACCTGGATTCCTCCCCCTTTCCTCGAAGGGCAGCAGCCTGGTGGGTAGAGAGCTGGTGACCAGGAGTGGACTGGTTGGAGGGCCGCCCTCAGCCTGAGCAGATCTGGGACCCCCAGCACCAGCCTGCCGTGTGGTTAAGGGGTTGCTCCCCAAATCTGCAATCTGAATGTTGGTGACATCCACCACACTTGACTGTCACCAACGCTGCTCCTCATTAGCGCTGTTTAACCTGTGTTCCGTTTGTGCTGACTAGCTCCTCCAGCCCACGTGTTCACAGCAGATGGTCCAAGGGGTGAGTTCCTGAATATGCTTCCCGATGCACCTGAAGACCTGCATCAGCGTCATTCCCAGACTCACGTTTCCATCACCGTCTTCACCTCCTGGCTTCAGAGTTCCTATTTTAAGCCTCTACACCAGGAGTTGGCCAACTTATTGTACAGGGGGCCAGAGAGTAAATATTTTTAAGTGAAGAAACAAAATGGAAATGATTATATAGCTACTTATATTAACAAGAAAGAACAAATTCCCATACATTTTTTTTTACGGACCAAGTTAAAAATGTGCTACTAATAATGATAATAATTATAGCTCAGTATAATTTTTTAGTAACATATGTACTCATGAGAACGTAATTCTTTTTCATGGGAGATAGCATTTTGCTTAATTGGGGCTCAAAGGTAATGGGTTTTTAAAAAAAATCATTAAATGAATTGCAAGCGTTCAGGTGTGAAAACCACTCTGAGCTCATGGGTTGTACACAGACAGACAGTGGCCAGGCTGTATTTGGACCACGGCTGTCACTTGCCATCACCCGCTGTAAGCCATGGTGGATTTAATAAGGGAAAAATGGGTCTGACTGTCAAACTAGGCAGGTGACATTACATTGTCAAACTAAAAAAATGTACAGATTTCAAAACCTATACAGAATGGACAGCACCAAGTGGGAGCCCTACTGTAAACCATGGACTTGGTGAGATCATGACATGTCAATGCAGGTTCATCAACTGTACAAATGTACCCTCTGGTGGGAATGCTGATGGCGGAGGAGGCTGTGTATGGATGCGTTGTGGGGCAGAAAGTATATGGGGAGTCTCTGTACATCCCCCTGAATTTTTCTATGAACCTACGACTGCTTTAAAAATGAAGTCTTTTAAAGAGTGGACTGATGGCCACAATGCTTCACTATCGAGGAGCCCTGTGAGCTGAGTCATCCGCTGAGCACTGCTCTGAGCATCTGTGAAGAAGGTTCAGTTAGCGGCCAGGTTTAGTTAGAGATTCCTGGCCAAGCCTGGATACTGTGCTTGTATCAGCCTCGTCTTGACCGATAATCTGTGAAACCAAGGGTCTGACATGACATCCAGTTTTCTTTCTTTCCAAATACCCATTAAACTGAAGACACAACTATTGAAGTACAAAATATATGTCCATGTACTACCTAAAGTTACCTCCTGGCATGTGACGATGCTTTTGAAAATAAAGGAGTTAGGCCAGTATCTTTTGAATCTGACTACACATTGGAGTCCATTGGGGAAATATTTTCTCAGTTTTTAAACATTTATTGATTGATTTGAGAGAGAGAGAGAGCGATTTGTTGTTCCACTTATTGATGCATTCATTGGTTAATTCTTGTATGTGTCCTGACTGGGGATTGAACCCACAACCCTGGTGTATTGGATGACACTAAACAACAGACATACCCGGCCGGGGGAGGGGAGAAGTAGGCTTTTTTTTTTTTTAAAAGCAATGCTTGGTCCCAGTCGGAGGCCGATTACACCAGAATCTCTGGAGGTGGGCGTGGTTATGGGTGCATTGTAAACATCTCCAGGTGCTTTTAATGCACGACCAGCTTTGAGAACCACTGGGTTATGGCAGTTTGTCTCCAGAAGCTTCTATCAAGTGTACAGCATATCACTTGGGAAGGACAGCTCATTGCATAATCTCTAGGGGTCAACGTTCTCCATCACCAGTGACGTGCTGATGAGGGGGTGAAATGTGGGTGATGGGGTGAAAGGTGGGTGATGGGGTGAAAGGTGGGTGATGGGGTGAAATGTGGGTGATGGGGTGAAATGTGGGTGATGGGGTGAAAGGAGTGATGGGGTAAATGTATGTGGGGGAAAAATAGGATTGTGGGGGCAATGAGGCTGTGCATTTACGAAGAGGAGTCAGGTGCAGCCAGGGTGCAACTGGTTGTTCCAGGGATGAAGAGGCGTGGAAGGAAGACACCCCCACAGCAAAGAGCCCACCTTGCAGCTGAGTCCAGTTCCCCAAGAGCCATTGTCATCCCTGATGCCCGAGCCCCTTGCTCACCTCACATTTGCCAGGGGGCCGGTGCTCTCAAAGTTGTCTCTGTGGTTCGGCCCATTGCCTGATGATTTGTGCAAGTCGGAATAGGAGGAAACACTATTGAACCTGACCTTGTAGCTCCTGCCAAAGGGAGAGAGAGTCATGAGCTCTGGCTTGAGCCCTCGCCTGAGGTCACCACCCTGGATCGTCAAAGGACCAGTCCTGGTTCTAGGACCCTCTCGCGTGTGATGAGTGAGACCACAGCACCCTCAGGCCTCCTCCACAATGGATCAACGTACCCTCGCCCACCACCATGCCAACCAGCCATCTGTCCTTGATGCCGTGTGTATTAAAGGGTTTCTTTCTGACCACACTCAGCTCAGGAAATTGAAAGCCAAACAAAGTAACTGAATAGGCAAGAAGGCAGGAAGGAGTGGAACAGACCACCCCTAACCATCAGACCATGCTTCCCTGCTACCCAAATTGTAACGTGTGTAAGGATCAGCCTGGCACTGGGTTAGGCAGATCCTGATTCTGAAGACTTGGGGCTGGGCCTAGAGTCTGCATTTCTAATAAACTCCCAGGAGATGCCGCTGCCGCGGGTCCCCAGACCTCACTTTGCGTAGCCGGACCTGGACTTGTGCTGTCCACTGTGGTGGCCATTGGCTACCTGTGGCTATTTGAATGTAAAGCCAAATTCACTCACACCAAATACAACGAAAAATTCCGTTTCTCACTTGCACCAGCCACACGTCAGTTGCTCACTCAACAACCACGTGCGGCAGAAATACAGACCACGTTCGTCACCCTAGGAAGTTTGATTGGACGCGGCTCTTTCTGTCCAGTTGTGGTCCTTAGACATTTCCGGGGTCTGTCACATCCCACCTTCCACGTCGGCATGGAAAGCGCTCAGCCCTGACATGTGGCGGGAGAGGAGACCGGCATTCTCATTAAAGTGTTTGGAAGGGGAAGGAAGATGTCATTGGGACTCAGACCTCAGCACTAGGGGCTCAGGAGCCTGAAGCCTCAAGAAAACACACCTGGTTTTCCAGTTTTTCTCTAAAAGTGAGTTTTGACCTCAGACAGGGCAGAAACAAAACATAAAACAAAACAAAACAAAAAAATGTCTCCAGGACAACCCCCCCAAAACCAAACCAAACCAAGAAATCCAAGCCTCCAAACAGAAGGAACAAAGCAAAGCGAAACACAAAAACTCCGACGTCAATCTGAGCGCAAAAGACAGAAAAAGAAACTGCGCTTCTGGCAGCAGGGTCCCAGGCGGGATCCTCGGTTCTTACTCAGGATCGGGAAAGGTCTAAATGCACGTAAGCGTAGTTTCTGCCCTAAAATAGTCACACATGGAGTCACTTCCCCAAACAAGGCATGCGACACACCAGGGGGTGGCCGTGGTGTTAGTGGGAGGGATGGGGGGTGGTTGTGGGGTGAGAATAGCAGCGCGTGTTTTTGTATGAGGTTCACGGTTTCCCAAATGCTTTCCTCTCTGTTGTTATCCTTTGGCCCGCACAGCAGCCCGCTCCCAGGCGAAGTCAGGACAGAGAGAGCTTCTCCCCATTTGGTGGATGAGAAAGACTGAGGCCCAGAGAGGTCAAGGGACTGGCTCCAGGTCGCTTAACGAGTTAGTGGCACAGCCTGGGTTAGAACCTCAGGTTTCCTTGGCACCTGGATGTGGCCTTGGAGGTTGGAGCATCGGGCATGCATGCGCACGCGTGCAGACACACATCTCCCTGCACACATGCACGCACACAGGTGCATGCATGCACACGCACACCCACTCTACCTGTGCTGGCTGTCACGGGCTGCAGCCAGACCATGGACTTCTGTGTCAGCTCGGGGGAGGGGAGGCCCTTTACGGGAAAAGAAACGCAAGGGTTCCGGGTACCTAGAGGGGAGAATGGATGGTGCCCTATCTCTCCCTGAAGGAGGGGACCTGCTGGAGACCACCCAGGCTGGCATGGGCCGGAGAGGGGCAGGGACAGTGAGTGCTAGAGTTGGGCACAGAACGAGGGCTGAGTGCGAGGGACTCAGCCACCCCCTGGACATGGAAGGCATGCGAGTTTGGCAACACGTGCTCGGCTACAAGAAAACCAAGAGGGATTTTCTGCGAACCACGGCCAGCGGCGCATTTGGTGCCTAACGGCAGAGCGGGGTCTGCTCTGAGCTGGAGGCGGCGCTGCGCCGGCCTCGCTGACAGGCAGCTCCGTCTGCACCTGCCATGTTCTCCACTTTGTGGGCGATTTAAGGGCTTTTCAAGGGTAACGTTGATTCCAGGTGTTTCTCAGATCACGGAATCTCTTCAGAACCCAGCCCCACGTTGGATGCGCTTTCACGTGGACATCGTTGGACCGCAGGCCACTCTCTGCCTTCTTTTGAATGCAACCCCCACCCGAGCTGCAACGCCGCCCTGGGCATCGGGTGGCACAGCGCCAGGGGAAGCAGCGCATTTCACTGGTTCCGCATGCCGGTCCCAGTGGCGGGAGAGAACTGGCGTCTGCACAGGGCCCCCAGTTTCTCACAGGGCACACGCATCTAGTTCCTAATTCGCGTCTTACAAATTGGAGAGCTCAGGCAGGTGCAATAAACCCCATTTGATAGGAGAAGAACCCAAGATCCTCTAATTAGAGACCAGAGCATCAGCGCTGGTGGGGCGCACGCACCCAACGGCTGAAATCGGCCACAGCTGGACTGTCGGTCACAACCGCCATCCACCCAGACCTCAAACGTGAACCCCAGGTGCCAAAAGACAATTTCCAGTCCCCCCCAGGGGGGTCATGCGGCCGTGGAGGGCTGTCCACTTACTTCCTTTCCTCCTGCACAGAGTTGGGGTGCCTCATTTCCATCAAAGCACAGCCGAACTTCTGCAGACCAAAAGAGGTGAGTGACATGTCAAGAGTGTATTATTAAAGCTGGAATATGCTCAGGCACCAAGGGGCTGGGGTCCTGGCTGGAAAAGGAGGAGTCTGATGCCTGGGGGCCCGGATGTCCGAGATGGTGAGATGGCGAGGGGCTCGGCAGGGCAGCAATGCTTGCGCTGCAGACGCACACGGGAGGGCCAGCTGCTTAAAGAACTGCCGAAGCGGACTCCCGACCCCAGCACACCAAGCCCCTCGTGGTGGCTTTCTCTCTATAAAAATATTGTCCCCACTTTTCTCACCTGGAGCATCAAGCTCCAGGGGACACCCAGCTCTTGGTTTGAGCATCCATTCCAAAGAAGCAGCCATTTCACTAGGAACCAGCCAGGCCCTCGGTGCCAATAGACAGAGGACTTGGAATTGTCCCATCTTGGCCGAGCTTAGATCCACATTGAAACCACTGTCTTTGAGGCCCTGGAGGATGTGCTACTGAACAGCGGGCGCAACGGTAGCCCCTCTTTCTTCCTGCTGATGGAAACACGTGCTAGAACAGGCGGACACTCATCTTACCTCCCCATTTTCAGGGGGGTCTCCATTGCCAAAGGTGCTGGTGACCACCAGGACCAGCGTTTCATGTTCCAGGTGCACAATGTCATAGTCTTCCATGGATATCACCTAGGTGGGAGAGCGGAGGGGGGTGGGGTGGGGGGCGGCAAAGAGGAGGGAAGGAGGAGGAGAAAGAGGAGGAGGAGAAGCAGAAGATGAGTCGTCTTGAGCCCTCTCCTTTGGAAGAACCAAATGTGTGGGGTGTCGCTATTTCATGGGTAGACCTGCAAGCCTCTGGCAGGGTGGGACCTCCTATGGTCCCTGTGGCCTGGAGGCCGTAGGGAATCTGGGGAAATGGTGCAAGGGGGTGACTGCCAGTAGAGACAGGTCCTAATGGAGACCCTTCAGCTTTTTAAAACCAACTGATCTTGGAATCTCCTTGACCACATCTAGGCTGGGAGTGACCTGGCCGACTGGATCTGACCAATGGCTGCTCAGCCCCCTTTCTAGCCTCCCTCCAGCAGGGTGGATGGCCGGGGCCAAACAAGTCTGAGAGACCTGTTTTGGGGAAAGATGGTTGCCCTGTATCCTAGTGTCGCTCGAGAAACATTTTTCTAGGGAAGCCCAGTCTCTGGAGATGCTTCCCCAAAACAAGTGAGCCATAAACACACATGTCTGGGGAACATTCACATTCCCTGCCCTCCTCTTTTGGAGATGACAACACAGACTTGCAGACTAAAGGCTCTGACAAGTCCTGCAGCAAAGAAACCCACTGAACTGTATTTAACGCAGAGCTTCTTAAACGGACTCCAGAACGGATTTTCATAAAACCCTCTAACAGTTTCCTCTAGATCTGGGGGTTTCATGTTGTGATTCCTGGACTCCTGGGGGGTTCGCAGAGAGAGGGACATCACCGTCCCCTGAAATTTATGAAAATGTGAGCGTGTGTGCTGACGGGCAACTTGGGATGTGCTTTCATCCATTCTCAAAGGGTGGACGTCCCTCTCTCCCTCTCTCCCACTTTAATCACCACGAGGGGCTGGAGAGCTGGCAGTGCCCCTACCCACCTTGGCATCGAAGGCGTGCTTGAAGATCTCACACAGGGTTTTGGCATAGGCCTGCGATTTCCCCGTCTCTGTGCCATACAGGATGGTCGCCTTGACCCTCTTGGCCATTGCCTGCCCCATCAGCTTGGCCGAGAACTTGACGGCTCTGGGAGGAAGGGGAGGGAGAGGACCATGGGAAATGCCAGGCTGGGACTATTGGGCAGAAGCGTGATCCATGACATTAACCAGAGAGAACTTACTCTCCTGATCTTTGATGGCCTCCGGGAACTCAAGGCCTGAGTTTAGGCACCATTTGACCCCTTTAAGTCCCTCCAGAGCAACGAATCATGAGCTGAAATGGTTGGTTAACTGTGTTGGGTTGTTCATGGATCAACCCCAGTCTTGAGGACCTTGCTGTGCCAAGCATTGTCCCCAAAAGATGATCATTCATTCATGCACTCATTTGTTCATCCATCAAAAGTGTGTTAACCACTTATGTGCCAGGAATTGTGATAGAAGCTGAAGAACATAGAGAATGCAGCTGTGGACAAGCAGCTGTGATGGGGCTTACCTTAGTGTGTGTGCATGTGTGTGTGTATGTTTGTGTGTGTGTGTGTGTGTGTGTGTGTGTGTGTGTGTGTGAGAGAGAGAGAGAGAGAGAGAGAGAGAGAGAGAGAGAGAGAGAGAGAAATCACTAACAAATCACTAGGTATTGAGCTCAAAGGGATTTCAGAAGTGAAGGATCAGGTCTGGTTTAGTCAGCCGTGCATATCCGGGGTCTTGCACAGCTGATGCCTAATAGGCACTAAATACATATCTAGCAAAGGAATGAATTTTAAAGATGCTGCTACCACTGAAGACGTGGGGAGTTCAAATGTCAAGTCTAGGCCCTTTGTAGTTAAATGGAGAATTCAGAACCACTGTTCTTCCTTCCCGTCCATGAGGGCCTGGGCGAGGCAGCCAGGCCAGAGGCCCAGGAATGCCTGGGCGCCCCTCGGAGCAAGCATCCCTGCTCTAACCAGGCATCTCCGAGCAGACAACTTGCTAATTCCTCCTACTGGGGGGTTATTGGTGGTAAATTCATCATTTTTTAGAATCAGGGAAACCACCCACGCTGCAGGAGCACTTGGGCTAAGGGGGAGAAACAGAGAGAAATAAAAGGTGCCTGGAGGGTTCCCTTTGAATGATGGGAGCATAAAAAAGCAGCTATAATTAACTCCCATTGTTTCTAGCTCCATCTTAACAGTGCAGTTAATGTTTTAGATTCCCCGCTTCCTCCCCCGCTAGACAGCTGAACTGAAGGGAAGCCAGGGGCTGCCTTCCCTGAGAATATTTGTGATCGCTCATTAGCGAAAGAATGGCTGCTGAGGTGCCCTTGCTTGGCTGGAAGACGGGGTTAGGTGGAAGGAGAGAGGAGGGGAGAAAGGGAGAGAGATGCCATGGGCCGTATTAACAGAGCCAGCGCCCAGGGTTGAGTCCCTGCAAGACCCACCAGTGTCTTGCTTCTGGGGTCTGTGGCATGGATGGCACCAATTGTTTTATTTTTATTTTTTGCAACTACCCCCCATGCAGAGAGAGTTCTGGACCCGAGGGCGCTCAGGAAAGAGAGTGAGGAGCTCAGTGCATACTAGCTCCTCTGCCAAAAAGTAAGTTAGTTCTGAACAGGGGTGTCTCTGAGAGAGCCGGCGGAACTCTCTCTTAGGAGAAGCCTGGCATCCCCATTAGAGCATCTCAGGCGGCTCCACCCCACTTGTCAGCTGCCCCCTTGGCTGGCTACACGTTCTTTTTTCTTTTTTAAAATGTTTTTCTTGATTTTTAGAGAGAGGGAGAGGGGTAGAAAGACAGAAACATTGATAAAAGAGAAACATCATTGATTGGCTGCCTCCTGCACGCCCTCTACTGGGGATCAAGCCTCCAATTCAGGCATGTGCCCTGCCTGGGAATTGAACTGGTGACCTCTTGGTTCATGGGCTGACACTCAACCACTGAGCCAGCCGCAGCAGCTGGGCTGGCTATACGTCAGGACAGTTATTCTTTGGTGGCCTTGGTCCATAACCCCCTTCCCGCCCTTCTGTGCTCAGTTAGGACTTATCCATCTTATTCTTCAGCTCCATTGTCATCTCCTGAAGGAAGCCCTCTTTGACCTCCTAAATGCGGTTAAGTCTGTTCTTTGGCACCATGGATCACTCCTCGAGGGCACTCGAAGTGCTGACTGTATTTGGGTGGTTCTCTGACAGATGAATGGCTGTGAGCTTGAAGAGGGCAGGGACCACATTTTCTGGCTCATGATGGCTTCCCGAGAGCCTAGTACAGTGCCCGGCAGGGAACAGGCTCTCAGTATCCATTTGTGGGCCGAATGAATGAATGAATGAATGAAATTAGAGTTCCGCCCTGGACAAGAGCACTGTTGTCAGTGCTGTTCTGGACCCAGCTCATCCCAGCTCCTCTCTACGACGGGTTCAGGGACTTCCTGTTGGCAGCGTAAAACTGGCCATAATGGGAGTATTTACACAATGGCAATTGGCCAACATTACAAATCTACTACTATTTTTACTTTTAATATTATTATCAGGAAAGCTGCTTTACCAACATACCACTCACTGCCTCTGGGAAAAGAATTTAGGAAACTGGGTGAGGAAAGTAAAGTCGGGAGGGAGAAGAATTGTGGCAACATTTACATCCCAGACTCTGAGGCAAAGAAGGCACGAGGGGGCGAGAGCAAGTAGAGAAATCTTATCGTGCTAGAGGTCAGAGGCATGACTAGCTGCCTGGCTTCCTTTTGGGGGGCTCTCCAGGTTTCGGGGCACATCCACCCCCCACCTACTGCAGGAGACTTACTCTGCCAGCTTCTTGAAGCCGATGGCTCGCCGCTTGGTGGGGGTCCCGTTGGTGCCTTTCCAGAGGTGGGTGTTCCAAGGGTCCGGCTGGGAAGAAAGGACTGCGGTTACTATGGTTACTGTGGTGGGGGAACCTGGCTCCCCTGGGAGATGCTCAGGATCCTGGGGGCTGTGGCTGCCCAGCCATGCCCAACCCGCAGCCTTGCAGGGAGTGATTCTGCGAGTGATGACCACAGGGGTCCTGGCACAGAGCGGCTGGCCCAGCCGTTCTGCACTGTCCTGCTAGACCAGCGGTTCTCAACCTGTGGGTCGCGACCCCTTTGGCGGTCGAACGACCCTTTCACAGGGGTCGCCTAAGACCATCCTGCATATCAGATATTTACATTACGATTCATAACAGTGGCAACATGACAGTTATGAAGTAGCCACGAAAATAATTTTATGGTTGGGTCACAACATGAGGAACTGTATTTAAAGGGCCAGAAGGTTGAGAACCACTGTGCTAGACCTTCCCACTCAGCCCTCAGTCCCTCCCAAAGACTTTCCTTGAGACCCCAGACGACTCATTTAGTCTCCAGGAATCTTTCTGCTAGAGCTGCGTTGTCCAATATGGTAGCCACTAACCAGGCATAGCTACGGAGCACCTGAGCGTCCAAAGTGCTCGTCTGAACTGAGACGTGCTCTCAGCATCACACACACAAGGCTACCGAAGACTTAGCGCGAAGAGGCAGGGAGGGGCAGGACCTGGTATTCGAAGGAGGGGGTGAGCCGGTAGTTGAGCATCTCCTGGTGGAAGACAGGGGTGATGCTGCCAGACATGGGGGGCACGATCCACACCCAGTCTGCCGGACAGCCCCCCCGGCAGCGGTATTCATTCTCCATGTGCTTAATGAAGGACTCGGTGGCCGAGTGGTGGTCGACGATGGTCACTTTGTCACTCTGTGGGCGGAGAGGGGACGGGAGTCAGGAGGTAAGAGCTGGGGTGTTTCAGGATTCTCCCCCAGAGTGGCGTTTCCCGAAGGACAGGTCCTGGAGATGGTTTAGTGCCCAATACTTGTCTGCATTTCTCCTTCTGACTGTACCTGCTGCTAACAGGCCTCTCCAGCGAGTCCTCCTCTCTCCTCCCCCACCCTTTTTCAAACGAACCTCTTATGTAGCTAGAATGGAACACCTCCGTTTTGTTAGTCCTTGTATCTGCTTACTTATTTAAACTAACAATTCTCTTCTATTTAAGGCAACTGATCTTGGCTCTCCATGTATGGTGGTGATACAAAATCCTGTCTGTCAGCTGATGGTCTGCGTCCCTACGCAAGACACGGACGATACCTGACATCTCAATTCTGAAAAACCACAGGTGACAAGTCACAACCCCCCCTACTGGTCATCTCTTCCTCAAACGTCCACACTCAAGATCAACATGGAGAGGCAGGCATGCACGATGGGCGGTCGACCTCGCAGGTGGACAGATCTCCCCAAAGGTGGCTCCTGGCAGCGAGGGCTCTTGGACTTTTGGCTCCAAGGTTCTGAAAGGTGCAGTTCCTACCTGAGGCTTGACGGCCGGGACCCCAGCACTACCTGGAAGCTGTAGAGAACTGCAATGTTGATCTCCACCAGCGCCTGGTCCTTCCACAGGGAGGACGTCTTTCTCGTGTCCAAGTTCATCTTCTTGGCCACTTCCTGCAAGAAGAAGGGAACACAGACTCTCAGGCTGGGACGCTTCAGACGAAGGAGGGGCAGGGCCAGCTCGTGCCGTGAATGAACGTCTTAACGATCAGTCAGCTCGCTGGCAGAGCGAGTCGCTCCCTCTGAAGGTATCTCACCGAGGACCTACCGGTGGTGGGAAACTAGAGACGTGGCTGGCCACTTATTACTGAGCGGGACTTGTAGTGGGAGAGAACAGTTTATATTGTGATCAGTGCTAATTCCTACGGAGAAAATAAGACGAGGCTATGGGAGGAGGAGGGATAGGGGGCAGGGTTCCCTGAACCACGATAGTCAGGACAGGCCCACGTGGAGGGGGCACACCCCGTGAGACCCAAACGGGGAGGAAAAGCGAGGCATGTGCAGACGGAGGGGGGCGAGGGTCTCGGCAGAGAGACAGCACGCGCAAAGCCCCCGAGGAGGTTCAGACTCGCAGCATCTGAGACACAGGAAGGAGGGCAGTGCACGCCAGGGTGGGGAGCCAGCGGGAGTTAGTGAGAAGGGCAGGATCTTGAAGGATGTGCCACGGAGCCGGGATTTTTATTCCAAATGTAACGAGGAGGGTCTTCGCAGGGTTTTAATCAGAGATGTGGGCCTGGGAGTGGCATCGCCTGCTTCCTAGTGGGAGAAGCTCTCCACCCAACCTGCTCCACCCCTGGAGTGGCCGCTACTTGTAACCTAGACCGTGGACGTTTTGAGCTTGACTGACTCCATCTGACAGATGAGGAAACTGGGGCTCAGAGAGGTGCCTGGATTTGCTCGACTTCTGTAGAGCCAGTTGGCCTCAGAGCTGGAGCCCAGGGAGATGCGTACCGCCCAGAACCGGGGAGCTGCTCCCCAACCAGCCGGCGTCTCCGGCAAAAACAACCCCTGATGTTTGTTACAGCTGAAGCAGGAGCTGATGTCAAGGGTGAGGAAGACCCAGTAGCAAATGCACTAATTAGAGCCTTGCTTTTCTCTTACTCTGTCAATTCTAGTCACTCGTGGGAACCCGGGTCTCATTATGGGGCTAGAATGCGACGATTTCTCAGCTTTGGGTAAATCGCTTCCCAGCCTCAGCTGTCAACATTTGTACAGAGTGGCAGCTGGAACTGGAGGCAGGGGTGGGAGGGAGTCTCATTTAAGTTACCCAGTGACTACTCGATGCAGTCGAAATGCAAGCAAGATCATGGAGGCGGACTTATTGATTCACCCTTTGGGGCTGAAGCGTTAGGTTCTGCTTGGGGCCTTTGGGCAGCGACACAAATGCAGGAAGTAAAGAATCTGCTGCTTTACATAAGTACATATAAAGCTTGAGTTATTATATAAAAGAGGAGCGGTGTCTAGCCAGTCATGCTGCTACTGTTACTTCTACAGCATTATTTTGGTTAACAAAAGAGAAATTAGTTGCAGGAAAAAAACATACCTATACAACTTTAAAAAAAATCCCCAAATGTGACTCAAGGCATCTCTATGAACATTAACTAAACTGTCTTTTCCTTTCTTGCCAGAAGTCTGTACAGATCGGTGGCTGCCCCAGTAGAATCTTCTAGGGCAGTGGTCGGCAAACTGCGGCTCGCGAGCCACATGCGGCTCTTTGGCCCCTTGAGTGTGGCTCTTCCACAAAATACCACGTTCAGGCACGCACGTACAGTGCGATTGAAACTTCGTGGCCCATGCGCAGAAGTCAGTATTTTGTGGAAGAGCCACACTCAAGGGGCCAAAGAGCCGCATGTGGCTCGCGAGCCACAGTCTGCCGACCACTGTTCTAGGGAGATGTGAAAAATGCTGATGCCCACCTCCCCCTGTAGAGCAATTCCATCCAAATCCTGGGGGGTGGGGTCTCGGGCGTCGCTGTGCTACCCTGGTAGTTCCAGTGGATGGCAAGGCTGAGGACTTGGCTTCTGTCTTCCAGGCTAACAACCATGGAGTTTGTTTTTTTAAAGTGAGATAGAACTGACACATGATGTTGTGCACACGCAAGGTGTACAAAGTTCAAGGTGTTGGTTGAGTACAGTTATATATTGCAATATGATTACCACTGTAGCATTCGTTAACATCTGTATGTAATTATTGTGGTGAGAACAATTAAGATCTAGTCTCTTAGAAACTTTGAAGTTTATACTAGAGTGTTGTTGATTATAATCTCGATGCTGTGCTTTAGATTTCCAGAAATTATTTACCTGTACGACTAAAACATCTCCCCAATTCCCATGCATCCCATCCCCACAGCCACCATTCTAACTCTCCGATTTCACCAGAGAGCAGAATCCACATTAAGCTATATCACACCGCCTTTGTCGTTGTCTGTCTGCCTGAGCTCACGTGGCCTAATGCCCGCAAGGGCCATCCATGTGAACACCTCTGGGTTTCAGCCACAGACACCCAATGCCTGGTTCTGAGGTCTAATCCTGACCCCACCTTAGTTACTGTGAGACACAGGCCAGCACTTCAGCTCTCTGCTTCTCAGGGGCCGATTTTGAAACAAGGCCAGCGACAGCAGACAGTTGTCAGGAACAACGTTTGCTGACAAAACCACGGCAATCCTGAGCTCTCACCAGAGCTGGGCCCCAGGAAGCTCTCTGCCCGGCACGTTTCGGCAGATGAGGGTGACTCAGCCAGGGAGGAAATCAGACCTCCACCAAGAAATGTGTTTAGCGGAAAACCATGGACTCTCCTCCAGCCTGGTTTTCCAGAAAAGAGACAAAAAAATGTCCCAAGTTCATCGGTCATTCTCCAACCCTTCTGACAGAGTTTGACACCGAGAGGCAGTGTAGCAGCGTGGTGGTGAACTCGGACCACAAAACCCGACTGGGGTTGCATCCCAGCTCTGCCACTTCCTGGGGGCACGACCTTGAGCTCGTCATTTCATCCCTGCAAAGGCCTTGGTTTTCTCATCGGTGAGAGGGGGTTTTCCTTTAACCTGGAGGTTGTGATGAGGATTAAATGAGCATGTTATACATGCAGTGCCCTCTGAACACCCATCCCACGGATGGGCCTAGCACCCAGTCCATACACGGTTAGTGCCACGGATGCCGCACTGGGATTGCAGGTTCTGTTGTCACCCGTTTCCAGTTTCTCAGCCCCAAAGCCTGGCTGTGGGGAAGCACTGCTGATCCCCCCGCTTCTGCCTGGTGACGAAGGAGGGCCCTCACCTCCAGGATGTTGTACCGAGAGTTGTCACAGTAGTCGCGGACGCCGATCTCCGTGCCCATGTACCAGCCGCTGAAGGGACAGGCGCTGAACTCCAGGCCGCCAATCTCCAGCAGCATGTTGGACACAGCGGGGAGGCCGTACCACTTCAGCCCCAGGTCCTTGAACCACTCAAACCTGCGGAGAAGGAGACAGCCCAGCTCACCAGGGGGCGGGAGTCTCGGGCAGACAGAGGGTGGGACAGCCCGAGTCTGGGGATGCTGCAACGCCAGCGACTGACGGGGGCCATGTCAGAACCAGATTCCTGGGCTCTGGGCTCTGCTTCCGAGCTGGAGAATCACAGGCTCCAGAGCAGGGGCCCGAGGATATGCATCTTACCATGTTTCCCAGTGATGTGCAGGGAAATCCAGGCCTGGAAACCACTGCTCGGGCTGCTGTTTATCCGCTAAGCCCACTCTGCAAGTCAGTCCTGGAGGAAGCGAGTTCCCTCCTACCCAGGGCCTTTGCACGGCCGCTGTTTCCTCCTGGGATCTCTCTTTCTCTGTGTCTGTCCAGCTCTTGTTTGCACTTTAATTCTCAGCTAAAATGTTGTTTACACTTTTAGGAAGCCTTCCCTGATGCCCAACCTGGGTAGGGTCAGGTGAGTTCATGCCTCTAGGCGCCATACAATTTCTATTGCAGCATGTTATTGGAATGAAGTTATTTGGGTAAGATCAAAACTTTAAATAAAGACAGGATCCCAGCCCTAGCCGGTTTGGCTCAGTGGATAGAGCGTCGGCCTGTGGACTGAAAGGTCCCGGGTTCGATTCCGGTCAAGAGATGTGGAAATGTTATATATACATATACATATACATATACATATACATATACATATACATATACATATACATATATATATGTATATATATATGTATATGTATATGTATATGTATATATATAGACAGGATTCCACACTGCACTCACATGACTCACCTGGTTTGCCTCCCTCTAGTCTCAGCCCTGAACTGGATCCTGTATTTATTTAAAATGCTGACACACTATACAGCACAGGATTTTTTTAAAAATTATTTTTCTTTCTTTTAAAAAATATATTTATTGATTTGAGAGAGGAAGGGAGAGGGAGAGAGAGATAGAAACATCAATGATGAGAGAGAATCATCGATTGGCTACCTCCTGCACACCCCACACTGGGGATCAGGCCTGAAACCCAGGCATGTGCCCTGACTGGGAATCGAACCAGTTCATAGGTAGATGCTCAACCACTGAGCCATGCCAGCCGGGCTATTTTTAATTTTTAAGAAACACTGCATTAAAATACTATTTATCTTGATTATTGAGTCTTTTGGTGCCGCCTCCATTCTGCCCCCAAGGCCCCTGTGGATTTCCTTCGCTCCAAATTCCTTTCGGACATGACTCCCCTCAAGTCACAGGGTTTAAACAGCTCCCTCTCTTTAACATCTGAGCCCCCAACAGGATAGCAGGTGCTCCTGCTTTCTGATCCTTTGGGCTGGGAAAGGGCAGGCCCGGGTCGGTAGCTCAGGAGTGGGGTAAGAAGGGAGATCATGATTCAGAAAAGATGGCAGTTCCCCGGCTGGTCAAGGAGGAATTGCTGATTCTGTGCCCAGGTCCCAGGGAGAGGACTGAAATCAAGAGCCCCTTTCAGCCTGCGTCTGGGCTGGAGAGGGCGAGCCAGGGGGTCCAGGAATGGGCAGAGGGCACTGGGGAAATCCACCCACCCTCACCCACTCCATGCCCGGCCCTCTTACTTGGGGTGCCTCATGGGCACTTCCAGCACCAGCTCTGGGGGAATCTGGAAGAGCTCGGGGTCATTGCCGTTGGCCTGGAGTAGGAGTGGCAGGACGTCGAAGCGGCCTCTCGGGGGCTTCCAGCCCTGCAGGATGCAGATCTGCAAGCAGACCCGCCGGTCAGGCCCCAGCTCAGGCCCCAGACCCTCCCAACACTGGGGAGGGGCAGAGCCCAGGCGCTACCCCCCAGCAGCCCGTTCCTCCAGAGGGACTGGGCCATCCCCCTCCTTTTGTCAAGGTCTCCCCGACATCACCACGTAACCAGCACCGCTTCTCGTGGGCCCACAGACAGAGGGTAAGACTGTGCCCAGCACCAGGCTTTGAGCACTCGAAATGTGGAGGGTTCGAACCGAGACCCTAAGTGCCGTAAGTGTAAACTACCAGGCCACAGAGGCAGAAACCATGTTTTATGTTTTCTGGGTCTTTCCTGCCCACTGGGGAGGGAGTCTATAACAAATAGTATATAACATGTAATCAAACGTATTAGATATAATTTATTTGTTAACTAGAGGCCTGATGCATGAGATTCGTGCAAGGGGCTTGGCCCTCGCAGCCCTGGCTTCGTCTGGAAGGTCATCCGGAAGGTCGTTTGGCTGTCCGGTCTAATTAGCATATTATGCTTTTATTATTATAGATAATACATTTTAAATAAATTATTAACATTTAAAGCTATTTAACACAATTATATATATTAACTCAATAAGTATATTACTTTATTAATAAGTATAATAAATAGGTTAGCCCAATATTACCCACTATAACGTTTTCAGTAATCGAGATAAGAACTTATTAGTAAGATATTCTCCACTCTCCCTCTTTGGTTTCTGTCTTGGTGATCTGCTGTGTATGCAGACTGTGTGCTCATGAGCCATTGTGACCAGCAGCTGCTGTATTGGACAGCTCAGGGCGAGAGGGTTTCAAAAGATACAGCTCCGTGGTTATGTTTGGGTGATTCTTTCTGCCCTGTTAGTACCAAGAAGGAGCATGAAATTATGCACTTAAAAGAACATGTCCTGTCAGCGAGGATTCTGGAAACAGAAGAAGAGGAAGAGGCCCTGGCGTCTGTGTTCTGGTGGCCACGGGGACAAGGTCAGCCAACTCTACACTCAGCTCGCAGCCAAGTGGAGCAGAGAGTCTGGCGGAGTCTAAATCGGCACAGGTGCCTCTCCTGGTCGCCCTGGTTACTGCCCCTTCCTTAGGAGAGTAGCATTTAATCAGGAAAGCCGGATGCAAAGGCCGTCAGCAGCAACTGAGGGAGTCCAGTGGCCCTGCCTGGCCAGCTCCTCTTGGGGGAGGTACTGGGTGGAGTTTGAGGGGGGTTTGAGGAAAGGACAAGATGATGTTCAACTGGGATGACTGGGTGATTAAGAAAAGGGGGTACCAGGCCTGTGGGCCTGAGGTCATGGCAGGCATGGCATCTGCCTGTGGTGTCTGCTATGGGCACAGACGCTGTAAGCTGCCGTGCCTCAGCTGTGCTGTCTGCATCACCTGGAAGGAGCCTTGGATGGTGGTGTTTGTGTTTCTGGTGGCTTTTATGAGTTGACTTGGCTGTCAGCAATAGTGTCTGTGCTGGTACCATGGAGAGTCCAGCCCATCCAACGAGGGTTGTGTGGGTTGAATAGTTGTTAAATGAATGAATGAAGGAATGATATGAATTTGACATATTACCCAACTCAGAAAAGGTAGATGCAGGCATGCTTTCCATATGTCAGCTCCTCTCCTCCAGGTGGGAGGGAGGAGACTTGGACTGTATTTCTAGCTCTGTTCACTTATTGCCTTGGATAGTTCATTTGGCCTTGGTGAGACTCAGTCTACCCACCTGTGAAATGGGACTATGGTTACCATCATGAGGGTCAGGCAAGGTAATGGCATGAAAATGACCAACTGACCACCTGTAAGAGAACCAGCTGGTTCTCTCTGGGGGCAGCCACAGAGAGAAGGAGGTTTGAGAAAGAATAAGTGGCAGTTCATTTACTGCTCTCCGTATGAGGATTACATCAAAATAAGAAAAGTCTGTCGATAGAAACAGTCTGGGGAGATGAGAGCCCAGGTGGGCATGGACTGGGGGGCACGCACCTCTGTGAACTCCACATTGGCTGGGTCCCCCAGGATAGAGCCATCAGGCTGCTTGTAGCCAGCATAGCGGATAAGCTGGGAGTTCCAGACTCGGAAATCGTGCTTGCTGTCGATCCTCTGGGGAAATATGGTGATGGCGGACCTGTGGGGGACAGAGGGGGACACCTGGTGTCAGGGTGGGGCTTGCACTTTGGGGACACCCTGGAAAAGGTGTCACCCAGGTCGATGAGTGCATGAGGCTCAGGGTGGATTCCACCTGTGCCCAGATCCCCAGGCCCATGGAGAGCTGCCGGGAGGAAGGGGCCTTGCCCTGTCCCTCCCGTGTCTGAGGAAGCGTGGAACGGGGGGCCCCGTGCCAGCTTGCTGAAGGAAAAGGAATGCTTCTCAAACGGCACTTTCAAACCATCTTGAAGTGGGCCAGTTTCCCAGGGAACCCTGCAGCAGCAGGTAATCTCCAGGGAAAGAGCATCAGGCCCCGCTTCCCTTTAAGAACGCACCATCAGCCCTGGCTGGTTTGGCTCAGGGGATAGAGTGTTGGCCTGTGGACTGAAGGGTCCCGGGTTCAGTTCCAGTCAGGGGCACATGCCCGGGTTGAGGGCTCAATCCCCAGTAGGGGGCATGCAGGAGGCAGCCGATCAATGATTCTCTCTCATTGTTGATGTTTCTATCTCTCTCTCCCTCTCCCTTCCTCTCTGAAATAAATAAAAATATATTAACCTTACCTAATAATAGACAAACATGTAAATTGACCGTACCTTCGCTACGCTAACCAGCCAATCAGGAGAGTCTGCAAATTAACCCAACAAAGATGGCGTTTAATTTGCATACGTAGGCTCCAAGTGGCAGAGCCAAGCCGGACAGCCCCGGGGCCAGAGCAGCGAAACCAGATGGCCCTGGGGTCGGAGCAGCGAAGCCGGATGGCCCCAGGGCCGGCTCCGCCTGGAGCCCGGCCAGAGCGAAGGCCTGGGTCCCGGGTGCCAGAGGCAAACCGGTGCCAGCAGCCAAGGGAAGGGAAGGCCTATTGCGTGAATCTCTTTGTGCAACAGGCCTCTAGTAATAATAATAAAAAGAATGAACCATAGCCCGGCTGGCATGGCTCAGTGGTTGAGCTTCTATCTGTGAACCAGAAGGTCAAGGTTCGATTCCCGGTCAGGGCACATGCCTGGGTGTGGGCTTGGTCCCTGGTGTGGGGGGTGCAGAGGGCAGCCTGTCAGTGATTCTTTCTCATCGTTGATGTTTCTATCTCTCTCTCTCCCTCTCCCTCTCTAAAATAAATAAAAAATATATATTAAAAAAAAGAACACAATCTTAAAAAAAAAAAAAAAGAATGCACTATCAATGTCTATTTCTAGTTTTTCTCCTACTGTAATTATCGCTGTTGTTAATTCTCGCCCAACCCATTCCAGGCCAAAGTCTGCAGACTTACAACTAAAAAAGATACCAACTTCCATTTGTGTTCCACGTATTTACTCTGAAACGATAGATTGCCACTGGCCTCGCCTACCTAGCTAGCCAACGATGAGACTGTACGGTTACTGAGTTGTAGTTGTTGCCTGCTGAAGCACCCAGCTGGAGCCCCGCTCTCTGTTTGTTAGAAGCGGTGTTAGAGGGGCGTTAACGATGGGTTAGCACAAAACTGAGACTTTCTCCTTAGCAGCAGCAGAGGGATTCATAAACATCAAAAGGAGAATAACTTTTCACGATGTGGTTCAATGTTGTCTCACGCCAGTTCCTGCCACCCGGATCCATTGGTCCCCTCACTGGACGGATCCCAAGCAATGGCTTGTGCTGGCATGGGAGTCGCACGGTGGGTCCAACCCATTGCTCATAGCCCTTCTCCCATCCACATCCTGCTCCTGGAACTCCGCCCCCTCGGCTGGAACCCCTCTCTGCTGTCATGCTTCCAAATCCAAGCCCTGACTCAAATCCGCTTTCTCCACATAACATGCCCTGCCCCATCTGGCTCCCAAGGCCTCTACCTGAGCCAATTTAGGTCTGACTGTCCGCACGGGACAACACTGCCTTTAACCCTGCAGGGATGGTGCAATGCACCTGGCAGTGAGTCCAGGTTGGGGGGAGGGAGGGCGGGGGCGGCTGAAAGTGAAAGTCACAGAGAACCACAGGCACTCTTAAAAATCCCTTAGCAAAGGCGCCATATTGGGGAATCAACACAGGGTAAGTCAGTCCATCCGTTTGCCCTCCGGCAGTAACACACATGGCCGTTCCTTTGGTTGAGCACCAGTCACAGGGGTTTGTGTAATTTATATATTTAAACTGTGCTCAGAAACAGCAGAGTCACACACAGTGGGAGGAGACCCTGTGTGCAGGCACCGAGACCAACGGCGGAAACAGAACACATTTCTCTCTCTCAGTCCCCACCTCTTCGAAGCCTACTCGTAACCAGTGGCAGGTTGAAAACCCCGTGCTGTGTAAGTTACCCTCCCTCCCTCCTGCTACCTCACTCGCCTTTCTTTCCTACCTTAGGCGATTTCGATACACAGCATACATGCTCTTATGTATGTGCTCAGATGTATGATTTTTTTAAAAATATATTTTTATTGATTTTTTACAGAGAGGAAGGGAGAGAGATAGAGAGTTAGAAACATCGATGAGAGAGAAACATCGATCAGCTGCCTCCTGCACATCTCCCACTGGGGATGTGCCCGCAACCCAGGCACATGCCCCTGACCGGAATCGAACCTGGGACCCTTCAGTCCGCAGGCCGACGCTCTATCCACTGAGCCAAACCGGTTTCGGCCAGATGTATGATTTTAAAACGTATTAAAAAAAAGAATCAGCTGAATATTTTCTTTAATAGAAGATGTCACGAAGACTCCCCAAAATGCAGGTGCACTGCCTGGTCTGTGACACCCCCCCCCCACCCCCGCCCCATAGTCACGGCATCATTTGAAAACTACCAGAACAGCCCACAAGCTCCGTGAGGCTGAGATCTCAACCAAGCCCTCCTTCAACGCTCAGGATGTGCCGGATTTTCTCTGAAGGGGGAGGTCTTTTAGTCAAAAGATATACAGTTGAGCCTTGAACAATGCAGGGTTCAGGGACAGTGAGCCCCCAATGCAGCTGAAAATCCACAGCTAACTTCTGACATCCCCCTAAAACTTAGCCTACCGTTACTGGAAGCCTTACCGATAACATAGCCAGTTGACACATTTTTGTAGGTTACATGGATGATATACTGTATTCTTTTTAAAAAAATATTTTTATTCATTTCAGAGAGGAAGGGAGAGGGAGAGAGAGATAGAAACATCAATGATGAGAGAGAATCATTGATCAGCTGCCTCCTGCACGCTCCCTACTGGGGATGGAGCCAACCACCCAGGCACGTGTCCTGAGCGGGAATCGAACCATGACCTCCTGGTTCATAGATGAGCACTCAACCCCTGAGCCACACTGGCTGGGCTACATACTGTATTCTTACAGTTAGCTAGAGAAGAGCAAATGTGATTAAGGAAATTAAAAGAGAAAATACATTTACTGCATTTCTTGAAAAAAATCTGCATCTAAGTGGGGCTGTGCAGTGAAACCCATACTGGTTCAACGGTCAACTGTACTACCTCCCCATGCAGGCCCGCTTACAGGCCTTCCCTGACGGTAGGCTCAGCTGGCAAGCACTTTCCTTCTCAAGGAAGGGACACATGCAAGGAAACCCATGCTTTATGCCAGCGGGCCACTTTGGGGATGAGCTCAGTGCAGCCCAGATGCTTAAGGGAATATCCCTGCAGCAGCTTTGAGATGGGCTGGTCCTCAGGAGCTGGGAACAGATGCCAGGGAAGGACTGAGTGGGCAGGACGAACAAGTATAACCGCCCATCTGCGGGGCCCCAGCTGCTCCCTCCCAGCTGCTCCTTCCCAGCTGCAACCTGCCAGCCCACACAGGTGCCTTCCGCCTTGGCCTGCTCCTGGTGGCTTTGTTCCTCATACGGGGCAAGAGGAGCTGGCTTAGTGGAACCTGACGGAGTCGTCCCCACAGCAGTGGGAAGACACATTAGTTGCCTTTCCAACCAAAGGGGGATTCTCAGGGTGCCCTAGACAAGAGCAGGAGCCGGCAGAAGCAGGTCACCACAAACAATGGGGTTTTCCTGCTCCTGGGAAAGAGAAACATCCCTTCCTGCCCCCTCCATGGTGACACGGAACGGTGGGTTGAAAGTGATTTTGGCTGCTGTAGCTTTGGAAACCACTTGGAATTCTATTTTTCCCAGAAGAGAAGGGACATGGCGGTGGAACAAGGATGCCAGGCCACCGCTCCCAGCCTGGTGCATCTCCCCGAGAGGTGGCAGGGAGGATTTCCCTGGCAGGTGAGCCAACACCAGACCCAGGGGTCAGCGCTGGGGGGACTCCCCTTCCCCAGGCTGGTCAGCTCACCTGAGGTTCCCTTTGTTGGTGGCGTACTTGATGTGGTTGCAAATGTAGTTGAACATCCCATGAGCCGTGGTGCAGTCGCGGGCATCAAACACCTGGAAGAGGTGCAATGTGGGAGGGATGGCTTCTTCCTTCCCTCCTCACCTCCCCCAGGCAGCCTTCCCATTGGAGGAGGGCCCAGAGCCCACTCCAGCTGCTACCCCATTGGATTAGTGAGCACCTCCCCACCCCATCAAACCAGAAAAATCCCCAAAAAGGAGGCATGGAGTGTAAGTGATGTGGGAAAGGGATGGTGAGGAGAGGAGAGACTTTTATAGTCGGCTGGTTATATTTCCTGTTAGGTTATTAGGGATCAAAATCAAACCAAAACAAACAAACAAACAAACAAACAAACAAAACAAAGAAGAAACCTCTGAGCTCGAAAACTAATCTACTTCCAACTTGAAACTATTCCCCAGAGAAAAGTCATACCAAGGGACACAGAATCTGAAGGCGTTGGTGGTATAGTGGTGAGCATAGCTGCCTTCCAAGGGACACAGAATCTGATGTTTTTGGTGAGCAGGCAGATAACATCAATAAGCAAAGAGAGTAGGTGCAAGACAAAAGGGAGCGGTGGGGTCTGCGGTCAACTGGAGTGCATAAGCCTTAACAAGAGATACGCAAATTCATTTTAAACACTGCGTTGGCTATCGTCATGAGACATGGCTAGATTTGGCCATGATCTGAGAATCTGGGACCCCATGACGACCCTCTGGTGGTACTTCACCTTGGCCTCCAGCTGAGCCATTGTAAAGCTCACCCCTGAACCTACCACCCTCTCCACCAAAGGGCTCATCGTGGTAGCGAAGCCTCACCACCTACCTGCAGCTTGGACCACTGGATCCTGCCGACACAGCGGGAGGCATTCCTCCAGGCGTGCTTGGCCCCATAGATGAGCTCTGTGTCTTTGAGCTGGTAGGTGCTGGTGGTTTCAATCTCCTTGTTCACCTCGTCCAGCCTCTCCATGTGGGCTTTGGAGCCAAATCTGAGTAAGGAGGGAGGGAGGGAGGGAGGAGCGTCACCTTCTCTCCAACATCAGAGGTTGGCGAAAGGAGGGAGCTGTGACAGGAGGCCAGAAGCCACAGAAAGTCAGAGTTGATTTCTGGACACAATAGTTCAAGCACAAAGTAGAGGCTGCAAACGAAAGTGCCCACAAAGGTCCAGCAGTGACTGAACTGGCTGAGGGGGGCCCATGCCTGGCCCGAAGGGGACAGCTACTGCCCTGCTCCAGCCAGCTGTTGTCCTGAGAGCGGGAAGTGCGGGGGGGGGGGGGGGGGGCACGGCTGCAGATCTTTTGAAGAAACTGGAAATCTGAGTTTTAAAGAAAACTCTTCTCATTTTAAATGATGGCAGTGAATGAAATTTTAGAAAGTACAAAAAAATTATTATGAAAATTGTCAGACTTATGAAAAGGTATAGAGAATAATACAATGAACACCCACACCCCAAGCCTAAGAATTAATAAATAAATAAGGACTAATACCATCGATCCTTGGGGTCTACTTCCCCATAATGGCCCACCTTCTTCCCAGAAGTGACTGCTATTTTGCATCTACATTCTCATGCTTTTGCTTATACTTCTGTCTACGTATACAGATAGCCCCTGAATCATGTGCAGTATTGTTCTGCAAGTTTAAAATGTTTATATAAATGGTGATGACCTGAATGTACCCTTTTACACCTGTCCTTTCCTTCTTTCACTCTAAGTTATTTGTGAGCTTCATTCCCATGAGCAGAGTGCTAACCCATTCATTTCTTCAGCCGTATAGTATTTCATTATGGAAAACAGCGCATTTTATTTATAGATTCTCCTATCAATGGTGTTGAGGTGGTTTCCAGTTGGTTCTTTAATTTTTTCTCTATTCGAACAGTGTTTTGGTAAACATTTTTATGGATGCCTTCTGTGCAAAAGTGTGAGAGTTCCTTTAGGCTACATATCCAGCCAGGGAATTGCTTGAAATGTTTCAAGTGTAAGCAGCACTTTGCAGGCCAAACAAAAACATTTCTGGGGGCTAGATTTGGCTCTTGGGCCACCAAATTCCGACCTCTGTGTATATGAACTTGCCTTTTAATGGACGAGTAGTACTGATCAATGAACTCTTTGGCGAGAGGGAAGAGCTGCTCTTTAGTGCGGACGTCTTCAGGCCTCCGTATCTGCTGAGAAGGCTGCATGATGGAGCCCATACAGATGCGCTCGCTGCATCCCATTTCCTGGATGGAAAAGAGAGATTTGGGCTATCACTCGGTTCTGCCCAGGTGTGGCAGGTACTGGGCTGCAGACCCGCATGGGATATTCATGGTGGTGTTGACCTGGCCTTTAATTCCCCAGGGGGGTGTCTCGAGCACCAGCTTCAGATCACTGTTGGATGCGGTCATCAGCCAAGGCAAGGGATGAGAAGCAGCATTTTAAGGTTCTGAAAATGTTTGTTCAACTCAACAAGGGAAAGAGGGGCTTTGTGACTGGCCTTCCCTCGGGACTGAGTCCCAAGGAGCCACCGTGGCTTATTTGAACACGTCTATGGTGCGTTGATTGCAGGAAATGGCCCGGACTGTTCCCCTCCCTATAGTCACACCCCGTGCAATAGGCCTTTCTGGCCACGCCCCCTGAGGAGGGGGAGCCTCTTCCATCACCTCGTGAGTGGCCTGCAATACACTAGATGCCGGCAGCCTCTGAGGCTGTGACAACCAAAAGTGTCTTCGGATATCGCCAGGTACACAGGGCAGTCCCCGCCACAGAGAAGTATCCGGTCCCAGATGTGGCCAGTGCCGAGGTGGGTTGGTCCCGGTCCAGACCCTCCTGCGCTACTTACCAACGTGCTCTTAAGGTGGAGGGTGTCCGTGAGAACCACGTCGGTCTCCCAGTTCTTGACCTTGAGGAAGCGGGGGCACTTGGAGGGGCTGCCGTTCTTTGGGGGGGACTGTCTTCCCGAGGCAGGGGCCTGAGGAGAGAGTGAAGATGGGACGTCAGGCAGGAGGGCGCTGGAACATGGTCTCTGCTGGGACGGAGCGGCGCTGCTCCTCCCGGAATCTGTCCGAGTTACCAACTGTCTGCACAGAGAAGGGGTTTGACTCTCCCTGGCTGACACCTGAGAGGTGGCTGGGAACCTGGCGCCTCCACCTTTGCAGAAGGAGGTGCCTCAGAAGAGCCTTTCGGGTTCTGTTCTGGGGAGGAGAGTCAGGAACCCAAAGATGGTCAGGAGCCCCCTGGTGCCTAGCACAGGGTTTGGCATTGAGCAGGGCCTCACTGAAAGTTTGCTGAATGAATGCACGACTGAAAGGACGCCATCAGTTTCTCCGAAGGATAAAGCCCTCAGGGCTGAGGAGTCAAACTGGAGGCTGGGTCAAGCTACTTTTCCGGGCCTTCCTGCTACAGCCCGAACTCACCATTTCCAGCAGGTACTGGGGAAACAGAAGGTTTAAATTAGAAAGGTTTGCAGCATAGGACGTTTCCCCCAAATTTCAGGTTCCTGCCTCTCGAAGATAGATGCCCAGCATGTCCCTGTCCCGGGGCCTTTGCACTTCCCGTTCCCCGTCTTGGACACCTTCAGTTCTCCACCTGTCTTCACCTCTGCAATAAAACTGCCCAGTAGGTGAGGACGGGTAAGTCCTGGGCCGACCGATGTTGGCCCCTCCATTTCAGACCCACGTAAAAGGATCACATTCTGTCTCGGGCGTTTCTGAGCAGTTGTCTACCTGCCGGGAGAGGTGTGCCCGTGCATCGACAAGCATCGGTCACTCGCAAGCGTCAGGGAGAGGCAACAGGCATGCCCTGATGCGACAGCTGAGCAGGGGAGGGGAGGAGAAGAGGCGACGTTCAGTGACGTTCATGCCAAAGAGTAGAGCAATGGGCCGTGACCTTGAGGCAGGGCCCCGTCGATGTGCTAGGTGCTGCCCTGGGACACCTTGCTCAGAGTCAGACAGGCTCCTCGACCTGGAGCACTGTTGTGGGAGAATGGAGATAGTAAGTGAGTACACACACAGTATAATTTCAGGTGGTGTTAAGAGTATGAAATAGAAGGAGGTGATGACGACTAAGTGGAGGGGAGAAAGGCAAGTGCAAAGGTCCTGAGGTAGGGAGGAGTACGCTAAATTCCAAGGACCAGCAAAGAGGCCAGTGTGCCTGGAGTATGTGCATCATGGCGAGGACAAGGATACGAAGTCAGAAAGAAGGCAGGGTGCACGTTACATCAGCTTGGAGGACTTGAGTTGGGTGAAGGAGCTATGAATTACCATTAAACAGGCTAAGTCCAGGACAGAGATCACAGAGAACTCTGAACGACTACTGCTGAAAACTACCATTCAATGAGCACTTAATATGCGCCAAGCAATAACCTTATCATCCCCATTTCACAGATGAGAAAAGTGAGGCAAAGAGTGGTTAACCAAGGTGTCCAAGGTCACAGAGCTAGTAAGCGGGGGCCAGGAGTCAAATCCAGGTAGTATGACTCTCAAACCTTGCTCCTGTTTGACAATCCTGCTTCTTGGCCATTATGCATAATTCATTCATGAATTCATTCATCATTCATTCATTCAACACACAGTTATTGAGTGAGTATCTCCTATGTGCCAGGCAAGGCAGCAAGGGCCAGGGCTGCTGTGACAAACTAGACAGATGTGATCTCTGCCCCCATGGAGTTCACAACCAGTGGGAGGGGCATCACAACTGAATGAGCCACTATAATTGAGAGCAATGGGTACAGTAACGTGGGGCAGTGAGAGTATACAGGGGTCTATGCAAGCACATAGAAGAGGCATCCCACCCAGAGCATTTGGCTTCTAAGTAAGACCTGATGGACAAGTAGGTGTTAACCAGACAAAGAAGGGGGAGCAGCAGGGCCTTGCAGGCAGAGAGAACAGCTGTGCAAAGGTGGTGAGGCGAGTGGCCTATCGTGGCCACCTTTCTGGCCACTGGCCACCTCTGTGCTAAAGCATCCATACCGTCGTGTTAGAGTGCGGAACAGGAGGCAGGTGAACCGATAGCTCCAGGACAGAGCAGGGGACGGTAGCAGAGAATCAATAGAAACTGCCGTGACTCATGAGCTCCCACTCCTCCCTGCCCTGGCCAGATCTGGTCATTCCCAGTGGTTCCCATCTCAGCGCCGGACACCACCACCATCCATCCATCTGCGCCAGCCACAAGGGGGAGCTGTCCTGGGCATCATCCTCTTTATCTCCCATACTTACCTCACCTCCCACTCCCGCCCACTGTCGTTTTCTAAGTAGCTCTAGAGTCCATCCGCTCCTCTGTCCAACCACCATCATCTCTCACTTGCATGACGGAGCTCACCGCCTAAGCGTTAGCCATTACTTACTACCATCGGCGTTGTTATTCTGCTAACACAGTGCAACATCTGGCATGACGACTGCAACTACACCACTACCCGACTAGGAGCAGGAGAGGGAGCTGGATGACTTCTTCCCTTGTTCCCCTTTGGCACTTTGCATCCTGCCAAACTTTAAGTCCTTTTACCTGCGTCCCCTTGTGAAGCTACATACAAACAACCGCACTTCCTCCGAAGGCCCGGAAAGACATGCTCACACCCCCCTAGGACTGTCTCCACTGCTCTCTTCCAGCAGACGAACAGGTGGTGGAAGTCACACCTGGGCGAGCCTCTGTCGCGACAAAATCCTCTGATGGTGCCGACAACCGGTGCCCGTGAGAAGGAACGGTCCTCCCTTGGCCGTGCGGGAGGCACCGGACATCCTCCCTAAACGCCAGGCGTCACTAGGCCAGTTTAGAAACTCCCTGGACCATCACAGTAATGCCCCGGAGGCTGAGGAGCAGCTGGAATCCGGGGGGAGGAGGGAAAACAGAGGTGGTGCTGGTGTGGGGGTGGGACCCAGGACCCAGGGAGAGGGTGGGAGGGCAGAGGGTGGGAGCCCAGGAAGGCAGGAGGAAGAGGTGTGGCAGGAGCAGAGCTAACGGGACGAATAGAAGAGGCCATCTGTGGAGGTGCCAGATGTGTGAGGGGTGGTCATCAGGAGCCGAGTAATTGGGGCCCGAGCGCCAGGCGTGCCGCTCTCCGCCCCGGGCTGCCGAGTACACACTTGAAACCCAGCATTAGGAGGCCTCTGGCAGGGCTGCCGTATCGGGGCTTTGATGTTTTAATTAGCCAGCAGTCATATTAGATGACTCAAGAGGGGACAAGTGGGAGATTACTAGAGCAGTCAGGGGCCCTGCGTGGGGGATGCAAATGACTTTTCTGAGTGGGGACCCAGGTTCAGGTTAGAAATGCAATTAGTGGGCCTGTGAGTCATTATGTTGGGAACAGGGCATGGGTGGGCTTTGGGCTGGCGGCTCTGTGCGTCCTTTTCCGAGTTGGTGTCTGCGGTGGGTAATGGGAGCATTCCAGGTGGCGGGGGACACAGATTTGATCGAGTGGGTCCTGAGGGCTGCCTGCTCCCAGCTTTGGAAAGAAGGCTCTGAGCTCCGGAGCATTTCAGAGGCTGGGTCAGCACCTCTTAGCAGAGGCCCTGAGGAAGTGGAGGGAAAGGGCCTTGCAGCCCAAGGGAAGACAGCTAGGCAAGGTCACTGCCAGCCTGGGGCTCCAAGCCAGGAATTCATGCTTGTAGGACTTCTGACACCCTGATTGCTTCTCCTGTCCTTCCCTCTTTTCCTTCTCTCCTTCACCAAGTACATACAGAGCACCTACTGTGTGCCAGGCCTGGTGTCCTAGGCTCACAGTGGTCCCCACTGTCCTCCCACAACTGGGAGAAGCACCTTACGGCTGCATGTCCTAAAGTCGGGGTCGGGAAGCTCGGGCCCGCGAGCCAAATCTGGTTTGCTCCCTGTTTTGGCACAGCCTATAAGCTAAGAATGGCTTTTCCATTTTTGGTTTGTTAAGTGAAAAAAAATCCAAAGACTAATATTTCATGATGCATGTGAGTTACATGATGTTCAGATTTCAGTGTCCACCAATAAAGTTTTATTGGTACACAGCTACACGCACTCGTTTCCGTATTGTCTATGGCTGCTTTTGCAATACAATGACAGAGTAGCTGTGATGAAGACCAAGACTGTAGGGCCCACGAAGCCAAAACTCTTGCCCACCTTGTTCTCTATGGGAAAAGTTTGCAGACTCCGGAGCGAAAGCATTGGATTCCACTGGCTGAAGTGTAAGCAATTTTACTGTGTCTCCATCTGCTTAAATGTCACCACATTAGAGATCTTTTCTGATCACTTGTTAAAACAACGCCTCACTTGTCACTCTGTGCTGCCTCCCACCCTTACTCTGCTTTATTTTCCTTCATAGCACTTCCCCCTGCTTGCAATTCTTGTGGGAGTGTATGTATTTGCACGTGCACGTAAATATTTGTATCTTACACATTTATGTATGTGTCCCTAGATACAGTTTTTGGCCTACCCACTGTTCACTTTGTTCTATCTCTAGCCCCTAGACCAGTGCCCAGCATGTAGAACACGTTCAGCCAGTATTTGAGGTCGGCTGTAAACTGAACTGTGACCTCCGGGATTCATACATTGAAGCCATAACCCCCAGTGTGACTGCATTTGGAGATGGGGTAGTTAGGAGGTACTTAAGGTTAAATGAGGTCATGAGGGTGGGACCCTCATCTGATAGGATTGATGCCCTTAAAGGAAGAGGAAGACACACCTCTACTTCCACGCACACACGCAGAAAGGCTAGTAAGGGCACAGCAGAGGGGCCGTCTGCAAGCCGGGAGGAGAGCCCTCACCAAATGTGACCACGCTGGCCCCTTGGCCTTGGACATCTGGCCTCCAGAACTGTGAGAAGTAACTTTGTGTTGTGTAAGCCGCCCAGTCTGTGGAGTTCTGTTACGGCAGCTCGAGCTGACTCACATAAGATCAAACGCATGTCAAAACTGAAGGGTCTGCTCGACCGGCATGACTCAGTGGATGAGCATCAACCTGTGAACCAGGAGGTCTCTGCTCAATCAGGTCAGGGCACATGCCTGGGTT